ATGAACCAGCGCAAACAGGTTCAAGCTTCTCCGCATCCCGGTGCGGCTCACATGCCCGGCCCCAGCGGGCCTTCAGGGATGCCTGGAGGTCCAGGACCCATGGGACCTGGTCCCGCCGCAATGGGCAAACCTGGCCTCGGCAGCATGGGTCAACCGATGCACCACCACCAGCCAGGAGCTCACCCTGACGGTACAGGACAAAGTGGAGGAGATGAAGTTGGTATGTTCCACCAGATGTGATTGATTTAAACGGCACTCACGTCGGCGTTTGCATGGCTTTTTTTTTTTAGCCTCCACGCTCCCCTCTACCCTGCCCCTTCACTACCCCTCAACTCATCGCACCGCACCGCATCATCAAAAGCTCTGCTTGACCAACGTTGTGTTGATTAATTGATACCAAACGCACTTTGTTTTTTTCCTTGCTGTCTTACAAAATTTATTCCTCCGCCGTAGCGGCTGTATCTACGTCTTTACTATCTCCATTGTTTCGGTTCGCGGTTCGAAAGTTTGGGAAATGGGTCTGTCATCTCCTTTCTTTGTCTTTTTACTGCCTGTCAAAGACGACATAGGCGGATGTTACTTATATCTATACAGCATGCCGCAGTGGCTCGAGGGGTTATGAGGAACTCTTTATTTTGTTTATTGGCACAGTTCTGTACATTACCATAAAGTCGCGCCTGCACAGTTGCTGTTGCTACTGTTAGTTGTTTGATTTGCTGCTGGGTTTTCGCGACTCTTAGACGAGTTCAATCTGCCAATTGGCTTTAAAAGTTGCCGTTTGTTTTCTGGTTGGCCTCACTTAGATCAACCTTGCAAGCCATATCCCTTCGTTCTGCTTTAGTCCTTGAAGCTAGATACTTTGAGTTTGGTCATATTTTGCATTTGCAGTCACTATTGCTCACCCTATCCATGCCTTGCCATTATAAGCACTCGAGAACCGAATTTGTATTGGGAGATAAGCTAACTCGAGCTGTTCATAGGCGATGGCAATTCCTACGAACACCATCACCACCAAGCCCCTACCGCCCAGCACCCATCAAGTAATGATGATGTGAGACCAGCCCATGTCTTTACTGGGTACAATAATCAGCCTTATCCCACTAGTGCGCCAATGTCTCATATGGCTCCTCACTCTGGAGGCGCTGTTCCAGCCAAGCGCCACAGCAAAGCCAGCGCCGATGAGCCTGACGATCTATTCCCGGATATCCCTGAAGCTAAGAAGCGAAAGTTTATCCTTGTCGAGGACAACGTTCGCGGATCTCGTCTCCGGGTCAGGGTCACCCTCGAGGGCGTCGATACTAATGAGATTCCCGACAGCTTCCGCAAGGGTGCCAGTGTCTTCCCTCGCAGCTACTTTCCCCGGGAAATGCAAAGTCCTCCTCCTAGTGCCACTGGCTCGCGTTTCTTTGGTGAAGATCATGATGACGATGGCATCGAAGAGACTGAGGGTCGTGAGTCTAGCCGCCGTGGTGTTAATAGGACTGGCAAGGAGATGGTCAAGGTTCCCATGGGCGAATCCTCAGGCGAGATTGCCATTCCTCGAATGAGGAAGTCTACCCGGGGCAGGGAAGTCCGCCTCAATGATCTTGGCTACCGCATGGCCTGGCTGCAGAGCCGAGTCTTTGCGGGTCGGACCGTGTTCTTGCAGCGAGCATGTAAGTTGTCACCATCACTATGTGGTAAATTGATTATTAACAACGTGTAGTGGACTGCTACCGTAACAAGACACGTGCTGCTATCGAGAGCGTCATGCAAGACGTCAAAACTGTTGCCCCTCATTATGAAACTCGTGCTGGCAAGAGGCGATGGAACGAACGCATGCGACGTGGTGCGAAGGAAGACGACGAGTAAAGCCGATCCCTTGACTCTTTGGCCTTGTTTTTATGTCAAACCCTAAACCAAAAACACTGTCATTTTTGTTTTAAACATCCCCACCTGCATCATCGATATTAGAGAGAGATTGGTTCTCTCATTGTTCGTCTGATATTCAACGATACCATTTTGCGATGGCATCCGATGGAGGTGTCTTCTCTTTTATTTGCTACACCATTTTCTTCTCTTTACTTGCCGAGCTTGACTTACCACTTTCTCTCGCATCAATATTGTTAGCTTTTCTCGCAAGCTTTGTTTTGTGGAAGGTGCCAGAGCTTCAAGCCTTTTTGTCATCTAGTGGTTCCTGTATATTAATGTTACAAAACAAGATACAAAGGTTCTATAGGAATGAGAGCTACACACACAACCAGCTACCGTTGTGAACATTCGGAATACCGCATATTCTTGTTGACCACAGCAGCATTTAGCTCAGCCCGAGGACGGATTAATTGCATATGGGAATAGAAGAAGAGAGGAGGGAAGAGTCGGTGTTTCAGTATCGGTCAAAGCTACCATGCTTCTTTTATCACAATACTGTCTATTTATCATTGTGAGAAAAATATATCTTGTCTTTGCTCAGAATGCTTTGATACTTTTGTGATATAATGACACAGCATCTTGTAACGTTGCGTCAAGAAACATGTTGTTGATCTATATAAGGAGAAGAACAAAAGAGGAGAGGAAAAGGAAAACACCGATGTTGCCTCAGAGCAAGATGTATCATAAGTATGTAATGTATGGTACCATGCTGATGTTCTCTTTGTTCTCACATATTCGCACTCCAGCGCAAAGCCCGTTCCACATAGCTACTTGAGTTTAATAACCCCTTCAGTTCTTGACGCTGTCACAAGGAAGCTAACATAGGTAGAAGGAACTGTAATCATCAGTGTTATTAGACTTCAGATTATTTTGGAGACTATATTGCTAGTAATGCCTCTGTCGCTGTTGTTCGTAGTCCTGGGTCTTATTTCTTCGTCATTCTTGGTAAGCTAAAAGCTCTATAATGACTTACAAACAGCTCGGGAAAGTTGGCCATTCTGAGTTGCATGCTTGATATGCCAGTGATGTGTCGTTGAATCTCCAACTCTATGAGCCTTGCACTGAGTCTGGATTCAGTTTGGATGGCTGGCACGTGAGTTGACCGTTAACTACTCCATAATTCAAGAAAGCAACGAGTAAGACTGGGTTTTCGTTAGCTCAGACGATCTGTAGTTCTCTGAGTGCGTGCGTTCCGGAGGTTACCTTGGCCTAGGTGGGAGAACATTGATAGTCGTGAGGAGAATCTCAGAGGAGGCCAGCCATTAAGATTATCGTATATAATAAAGATATATCGTCCAGCTGTGATAAGCTGACACAAGGTGGAATGTCAAAAGATCAAGTGGTAACAGTATATGAATAGAAGGGAGATATTGTGAGGGATGCATCAAAAGACAAAGAAAAGAAAAAGAAGAAGAAAAAAAACACCAGATTTTCTGTGACGGCAGTGCTCAGGGCCGTGTGAGGGGTTTACAACCGGTCCATTACTGTGCACACCTGAATAATGGACACAAAAGACTCGCTCTTAATTTCATCGAACATGAAAGAATGGGGTTTGACAAAAGGGTTTGACAACTCGCAGATATACCCCGAGAAAGAGGAGCCAGTCCAAGGACGATAATAAACCTACCTAAACAGTGAAGGTCCTGCTTCCTTAAGGACTTACAATCGGTTTGTCATTTCATTTGTATTACAAGAAGACCTAAACGAGCTCGTTTGGGTTCTTCTGGATGCGGACGCCGCTGCAGCTTCCAGGTAGGCACTTCTCACCGTGAGTAAACCATTGGTATGTTCACCTGTTATTGTGCCACTCAGCTTAGGTACATTCTCAGGAGGTAGCATGCCAGAATCTGAAGGACAAAGCCCCAGATATGCAAATCTCCTGAAGGGGAACATAACATTGGCAACTCAGATGTCATTGCTGGGAGAGTACATAGTGACACTGTAGGAATCTTAGGGAATTAAGACGACTTCAAAGACGTTCAAATTGTAGGGAAAGGCAAACATTCAACTAAATCTACGCGATGTTAAATAGTAACCATAAAGCTAGCAGTAGAAATATAACTAGGAAGAAAGGTAGAAAGGAGGAAGGAAAGAAAGAAAGAAGGAAGGAAGGAAGGAAGGAAGGAAGGAAGGAAGGGATATATAGGAAGTTTTATTTACGATACTGACAAGTTGTTGATAATTATGTTAAGATAAGCGGTGAAAATAGAGTCCTATTCAAGAGAGTTTGTCAACATCCGTTGCACGCCTTAGTCCGCGCCAATCCAGCAACAGAAGTAGGAGTAGTGACTACAGACTTGATTCACGGTCATTCACGGAACTTATTTAATGCTTCTGGTAAAATAAGAGGCATCTTGATTGGAAAATTATCCAAGCCTAGTATGATAAGCAAAGGCGAATACCAGCTTATCTCATATGCCAAACAAGATAGGCGCCAGAGTTGCTAATGGGTTGCCACTTTATGTATGGTAAAAGGGGAAATGGCGAATGAGAACGATGGGATGCAAGTGTTTACATGCAATGGAGCAGCCATTCCTTGGTTCGAGGTTTGATCAAGACTTGACTTTTTTGTATTTACATAGCCAGTATTCTCGAACCAAGCAAAAGAAATGCTAAATACATTGATTGATCCGCGGGTATCTCTCTTGGCACGTTCAGGACCATATCCTTAGCCGACGTATGCAATTGAGTGTTGGACTGGCGAAGGTGTTTCGAATACCCAGATTTTAGGTATGTTGTTGCCGTTAAGATTACCTGTAATTGAGAATGTGTTGTTTTAATCCTAATGCTTGTAACGCCGAACCCTGCCAAGAACCAAACCTTCGAAAGAAGCTTTTCTCAGGCCAAATCAGAAGATATTTGACACGACACCCCTGCCATGACCAACGTAGTGGCTTAGCTTCAGTCCGAGACCAACTCCCATCAAATCCAAGCCACATAGGGCCTTTCAGCTGAGTGAAAGCATGTCACTGGAATGCGGGCGAGTATTTTTAGTACTACCAATCTGAGACCCTGGTCTTAAAGCTACAAGAGCAAGAGAAATGAAGACGACAGTACTATTACCCTTTCAGGCAAGTGCACTTGTCGTAGTTAGGTAACTGAAGTGCAAGGCAGTCACATTGTCAAGGCAGCCCGCAAGGCGTCAGTAGAGCCTCCCTTTAACCCAACTGTTTCACAGCCCTAATTTAACATCAGGTCTTTTCTTTCAATCTCGAAAACACGTTATCTCATCATATAGTCGTCTTGGATAAGAGCAGTGTATATTGCCGCTGGAATTATGGTCCAAACCCCTTATTACGCCGGCAATCATCCGCCACCCCTATTCGTCGCTGAACTTGACAGTGAGCCAGGACGTCCCAGTGATGCCCCGTCACACCATAGGCCAGATGGGACACCTGTGTTCGAGATGAGCGGCGAGCCAGTGCTTCCGCAACATGATCAAGATGGAAACCAATCTAGTCTTTCTAATCAGTGGCCATCGTCCCTTCAGGCCCCGGGTGTGTCCAAACCAACGCAACAAGGCGAAGAGCACCAGAACAAGCCAAGCAAAGACCCATCCACTGCATCCCAATCTGTCATGGCCAATCCCTGGGCATACTTCGGACCTGAATCTTCGGATGATAAGTTTATAGAGACACAACGACCTCAGACAGACAGTCATCGACCCTCAGAGCCAGTGTACAGACCTTATCCTGGCGATAGCGATGCCAGCCCTCCAGAGGTTACTCATGGCACACGGCCATCCACCAACCCTTCAAGCCCAGACCTCAAAAATGATGATCATACCTTCTATCCCGCACCTTTGAAGCTTGCCCATCGTCCTGCCAATGCAACTTCACCTCCTGCCTTCAAGGCGTACGTTCCTCCAGTGTCCCAGGATTCATCAGATTTAGAGCCCAAGCTTTCAGGCCGGCCTGATAGGACCGACTCGCAGTCGCCAACGGCTCTAAACGCATATCGGCCATATAGGCCACATTCGCCTCAGCCTCCTGCTTCATCCGTACCAACATCCAGTACTCATCCTGCCGCCGCATCCCATACTCAGATTGCTCCTCCTGCATCCCCTTCAAACATCCCCCAACAGCAACCACCGGGGACAGTTGCCAACCAAGTCAATTCGACAATACCGCCGAGCCAGCCTCCAAATCCCCCAGCTTCGGGTGCTACTCTGCCAAAGCCAGCTGCCAGTCTTCCTACCTCCCCGAGGCCTCAAACGCAACAACCGGAATCACAGCCGCAACTCCAGTATGGCATTCCTAACGCTGCTCCGGCCCAACCAATGCCCCCATCCGCGTCGACCTATCTTCCCTCCCCAGTGACCCCTTCGGGCCAGTTATCCTCAGTCGTTTCTCCACCAGCAACTCCTGCGACGAATGCTGGAGTTCCCTTCACTCAACCACAATATGCTGCTCACGTTGCTGTTCAGACGTACGCCCAGACACCTACATCTCTAGTTGATTCACCTTCATCAGTTGCGTCACTAGGTCCATCTTATCATGCTGGAGTGCCATTTACACCGCAATATGCTATCCCTGTTCAAGCGCATAACTTTGGATTAACCCATTCCAACACAGCCGCTGCACAAGCCTCGGCATCGGTTATGTCAAGTTCGGCCAGTAACTCATCACAATCCACTCCGGTTCAGTTCAACTATAGTGTCCAACAGCCAACTTATTCAACTCCAGTAGAACCAGCGCAAAGCACTTTGAATCAAGCATCCCCTCCTCCACCGACCCCTTATCAACAAGCAATTATTGCAGGTCCCAAGGTACAGCAAACACATGCCCAACAGTCGAATACAGGACCGTATAGTACACCAGCACCGACAGTAATCCCACAATCACCCCCGCCTCCATATGCGGCTCAGGACACCAGCTTTGGAGCTGGAGCACAACCACCTGGACCTGGAAATTCCATGATGTACCAACCATCTCCAACTGGTCCTTGCCCTCCTCAGCCTCATTATTCTACCCAATCTTCCTACGCTCCGGCTGCGAGTCCCCCTTTGCCGAGTCACTTAGGAAATAGCCTCCAGCCTCCGGCTCTCCCTCCTAGGCCTTCCTCATCGCAAGGCTTCGCTCCCACATCAGGTTTCGGTGCAGGTCCTGCTGGCTATAACCCAGCGAGCTATCCTCGTCCACCCCAAACATATTTCGCACCTCCCCCTGCGCTGCCGCCACGACCTGGTCTTGGAAAATTAGCTGGTGGCGGCGGAAAGTTATTTGGCAGCAGCTCCGCAGATAAGTGGTTAAAGAAGACGGGGCAGGTATTGGAGAGCACGCTGGCACCATATCTTCAAGGACAGTCAGGGCAATCAGCATCCTTTCGACCGGGCTCCAATGGTTTGCAAGGACAACAGGGACAACCGATGCAGCAAGCACCAGGCCAGTATCCCTCTCAAGGCCACCATTTCCATGTACCTCACTTGGCTCCTCAGTATAGAGGTGCTTCAGAATCGGGACATCCACCACAGGGACCCAGTACACCAGGATACTAGATGATTCTATCTATTTAACTCCCTTGAAGCACGTACAATTTTAGTATACTTTAGCATCCAGTTAGTTAGTCATGCGTGGCCCATAACAAAAGGGACCTGGTTTATTATAAGACAACAAATTCCATATGCATGTCTTTATAATGGATGCGACCAGGAGGGCGCAGCTTTGATTCCTGTGCTCATCTGAGAGATATTATCTCCTTCATTATATGAATGTTGAGCACCTTATCGAAAATGAGCGGCTTGATTCCACAGACGTAACATTGCGGCCGTGATAAAGCTGGCCAACTGTGACACAAGAAATAGCATATTATGATACTTGTCGATAGAAGGCTTTAAGCGATTTTCTTCTGTCTTTCCTTTGGGCCACGAACTCAAAGTTCTTTTTCAGCTTCAATGGAGTTAGCAACATGCTACAGGGCTTTTACATAGATGTCAAAACGGGGTTTACAGGTTCCCTACTCAGTTTGATCAGTAAATACGTGATGTGTATAATATAGCTGACGAAAAATATGATCATTTGCTGAGAAATGGTAGTCTATTTAAAACGATTGCTCGGTACAGACTGTCGATAAAAAAGATTATATGTTGGCTGACATCATCATGGGTTGACGGCAGGCATTGCATCATGAGACCAGAGATGGCTTCCTGTAGTATTAAACTGTGCTCAGTCAAGTGTGGTTTTCCATGATACCTAGTACATATGGAGAAAATCATGATTAACGGTCGTCTCCTATGGTTACCCGTAGCTCGGTTGTCTTTGATCACGGAACTGACGCCAGTCTTGGCACTCACTTACTTGACTCATGACGGTGAAAGCAAATGGATGTGCCGAGACCTTGTGGATCAGATATAGGACCCCATAACGGCTAGCTGTAAAATGGTTAGACATGTAATAAGGAGCTTTGTTACCGCCTGCCAGGTTGAGAATATTGCCTTGGTATTATTCTAATAAGATGGTGGGAGACTGAGCCAGTTCTGTGGTGGATGGCGAAGTATCTGACTACCATCGAGGGAGCTCCAGAGCGGAATGATTGAGGAACATAGACTGATCCATCTGCTGCTGAAATTAATCTGACGGTGTCGTTCTGGCTTACCTGGTGACTGGACAGACGACGTTCCTTCGATGTGTTTCATCTTAACATCGGGAGTACAAACTCAACTGGTTAATGGTAAACATCCAATCTTAGGAAATCAAACGTGCATGTCGTGGAGAACAAGCCCAGCTCTTGCAGTCTTGGGGCTAAGGAAAGCGTAGCGAGATGGCGGTTGTCACAGGGGGGGCTAATGTCAATGCTGCTGCTACAGTGCTACCATAGATAGCAGCACAGGGCAGCTATTTTCAGCTTCACTGACACTCTGCAAGTCATCACGGACCCTGGCATCTCGATGCACGCAGTCCGTGGACAGGTGAGACAGATTACACGACGTCGCTCCTTAATTGTTATTTGAGACTCGCAGTGCTGCAATCAACCGGGCCATACGGAACAGCATCAAGCCTGAGTGAGCCATCCATCATGTGAGGTTTGGAAGCGCGGTCACCATTGGCGTATTGGATGGCGCCGCAAGTCAGTCCTCGTGACATTCCTAATGCAAGAACCTTGAAGATTTCAAGACCATCTACGTAACGCCCTTTGCAAAAGGCAACCATTAATTAAACAATATGTGCTATGTAATTGCTAAATGATAAGTCGGTGAGCATGGAGGCATGGTCACTGATGTTCGGCTCCGAAGGTAAACGACGGACGGACAATATCTCAGGTTCATAAGGTGGAAGGAAAAGGTTGGAAGCGAAAATCCATCAGTCCAGTTGCCTGCACAAGTCCAACAACTCAACAACCAATACAGGCATCTGTTTGTCAGTCGCCTGTACCTCTCAATAGAAGATATTTTCATATTTTATTCTCGGCCCAGTTTTCTCTCACTCGGTGCACTAAGATCTCTTCCATGACTAGATCCAGGCGCTAGAAGAATTCTTTGCCTCCGGCGGAGATTCCGTCTGCTGTCTGATTGATCCGAATATCTTGGTTGCTCGGTTTGCTCCGAGCCGTCTCTCCATTTCTCTGTCATATAGTATGATACCTAGTTTACCACATAAGAGAAAACTGAACATGCTACGAGACGAATCAAAGGAATCCATGCAGGTTCACCAATATTTCTAATTATTCGCTGAGCTGTTATCACCTGTCCTGCTCTCTTACCGCCCAGTTACAGCTCGCTTGCTTGCACCCCTCACCGGGGAGGCTGAGCCGGAGCTGTGCAATTCGTCGTTTTACATAGGTATCAGGCTTTCAAGGCAGACAATTGAGGCCGGTCAGAATAAGCAAACAGCGGAATACGCGGATCAAGAAGATTGGGCAGTTATGTCCTGCCTTGCCATTCTTTCCACCATGAACTAGAGATGTATTCAACGGCACTCCGTATATATCTACCACCTCTTGGAACCAAGTACGGCGAGACTGATATTATAGTAGCAACGGGAATATGCATCGATGTAACCGACGGGTAGACTTCATACTTCCACTCCCATGGCGTCAATATGCGTAAGCCTAAATTGGTGAAGCAGGTTACTCATCTCAACAGTTCCAAGAAAGACGTCCACTCAACCTCGGAATGTCCATCATTGAAGACATATAATACATTTCAAACACTGTGGTGGTCTCGGAAAACATTGTATAAATTGTCGGACTGTGAAGTGATCGGCAGGCCTTTGTCCAGATCGTCATTGCAAGGGCGGCTATTGACATTGGCGATGGCCTAGATAGCGGGCAACTCTCAATATGCTGGATGTCAGGATGATGATACCTGAGAGCATTATCCGTAGTGGTTACCCGATTGCAACATGATTCAAGAAACAACCGAATCGGGACCCGAGCCTAGGTATTGAATTCTGAGGTACTCGGTCAGTGCTGAGAAATTTTTAGGTCTGATACTTGGGCTACCCTAGCTGGAATATGTTAGCAGTGATTAACGGCAGAAAACGTGTACCGAGGTCATGCAAACAGCAAGAGAGGAGCAGATAGCTTGAATGATTGATTCATCATGAAACGCCTGGAGCTGCATTTGTAGTGACTTCGATTCATGCACTTCTGGGCCTTGACTCTGCGCCCTGTTTGTAACTGGTCGTCTTTCCACTGTCTTGGCCTGCCAATTGTTGCCTCATCCCCCCACTTTGGGCCGCATTCAGGTCCAGAAGACGACGGGACCTGCCCTTGAACAGTCCTAGACGGTGAAGGCTGAAGTGAGCCAGTGAGCGGCCCCATCGCGCTGGGGAGGGGAGTGCGTTGTGCGCTATGCGCTTGTCCAGTAGACGCCGAGTCCCCTGGAAACGGACCGCTAAGTTGTGGCTGATCCAGTAAGAAGCGCCTAATAAGGCGGTCGAAGGGCGCGTCAGGGCCCTTTCATAGGCTCTGGTTCTTGTCCATCCATGCTGGGAGCCCCCAACTGGGATCACCCGCCACCCGCCCTTCAGACATTTTCCTTTCCCCCTTCCCCAAAGGCTGGGCTGGGCTCGGCTGGTTTTCACTCACCCTCAGGCCTCGCTCTCCCCATTCTCCACTTTTCTTATTCACTTGCTCTTTCCTACCCGCCCCCTTCCACATCCATTCCCTTTTCTCCCCTCGGCCTGCCATTTTCTCCCATTCCCTTCTTCCACCCCACGACGCCCTTCCGCCATCTCTCCTCCTAACATCTACCTACGCCCACTGTCATCTCGACGACGACCTCGCGAGTTTACGTCTGTCATAGCTGTTGAGATTATCTTGTCCTTTCTTTCAGCTTCAACAAGAACCCTCAGGAATTACCGGAGCCACATAGTCCTCGATAATCTTCACCGAAGTTTTAACTCCTAGCGATCCCCAATTCCCTCCTAACCAACGCTGTCACCTCCCAAGATTAGCGCTGCACGCGTTTTGACCGCCTCCAAACGCACACGATTCTCTTGCAGGTATGTTAGCCGATCCTACTTTCTGGACCGAAATGTTTCTTGTTTTTTGTTTTGTATCAAACGGCATGTTCGAATATTCATTCTGTTTCTTTCGGATGCACCGACTCGTACCTACGCGGTCTTCCTTGATACTGCATGAGGCTTATCGGGCGATTCGCTCTTACGTCGAGTTGCGTCGGATTTGCCTTGTGGCGTTGCCCACCGCCCTCAAGCCTGATTCTTCCCCGACCCAGTTTTGCCCCTCTCCATGCATGGCCGCCTTTTCTCATTTGCTTTCATTCATCTACTTTTCAACTGGACCTAGACGGTGCTGACTCCCCTTATAGCCAACGAAGGCTCGCAGATCACACAAATTTGTACACTTATTCATCCGTTTTTATTCCTACGGAACGGGAAACCATCAATTTTCATCATGACGACCATGGTACGTTCACCGTCTCAAGGTCTCGATCCAAGCCCCGGTGCACAACAACATTTAAAACGATGTTGATCATCTTGAGGCACCATAACCCCCTTTTGATCGCTCGAGTTGTTTGTACGGGAGCTTGAGTAGAGACAAGGAACACTATGGCAGCATTAGCTAACTCTGTCGGGCAGGATCTTCGCGTCGGTAACAAGTACCGTATCGGTCGAAAGATCGGTTCAGGCTCTTTCGGAGATATCTACCTGGGCACCAATATCATCTCCGGTGAGGAGATCGCCATCAAACTTGAGTCCGTCAAGGCCAAGCACCCGCAATTGGAGTATGAGGCTCGTGTGTACAAGTCTCTTGCTGGTGGCGTCGGAATCCCGTTTGTTCGCTGGTTCGGTACCGAGTGCGACTATAATGCCATGGTTCTCGACCTTCTTGGTCCCAGTCTGGAGGATCTGTTCAACTTTTGCAACCGAAAGTTTTCCTTGAAGACAGTTCTTCTCCTGGCCGATCAGCTCATCTCTCGAATCGAGTACATTCACGCCAAGTCTTTCATCCACCGAGATATCAAGCCCGACAACTTCCTCATGGGTATTGGCAAGCGAGGTAATCAAGTCAACGTTATCGATTTCGGTCTTGCCAAGAAGTACCGTGACCCCAAAACTCACTTCCACATCCCCTACAGAGAGAACAAGAACCTGACAGGTACTGCTCGCTACGCCTCCATCAACACCCACTTGGGTGTCGAGCAATCACGACGTGATGATATGGAGTCCCTTGGTTACGTTATGCTCTATTTCTGCCGCGGCTCTCTCCCTTGGCAGGGCCTGAAAGCTGCCACCAAGAAGCAGAAGTACGACCGCATTATGGAAAAGAAGATGACTACCCCCACTGAGGTTCTCTGCCGTGGATTCCCCAATGAGTTCGCAATCTACCTCAACTACACTCGATCTCTTCGATTCGACGATAAGCCTGATTACAGCTACCTCCGCAAGATCTTCCGCGACCTCTTCGTCCGTGAGGGTTTCCAGTATGACTACGTTTTCGACTGGACGGTCTACAAGTACCAGAAGAACGCGCAGGCCATCGCACAGGCTGCCGGTCAGGCCAATCCTGAGGACGAGGAAAAGGCCCGTGCCAGCCGTACCAACGCCGCTACTGCCGGCCAGTCTGCTGCTAAGCCTAATGCCATTCCCAGCACTCGTCGCAAGATGCTTGAGCGAGGCTCCGGTGCTGGCGTCGATACTCCCGACACCAACCGTGCCATCGGTGGAAGCGACAGGATGTGAGTGATAAGTAACGCCTATTTTTCTAGTCCCTCGTAAGGAATCTTTTTCCTTCGTGCGTGTAGTGTGTTTTTGTACCGCTGGCCGAAGGGAGATTTGCTGACAACTATGGCTGACTCAGTGGACGATAAACAGGCTTCGCTCAGCTTCAAAGGGAGCGGGATATGCCTCGGGCAGCTATCGGCCGAAATGATTTCGAAACCGATCACTCCTCTCTTTTTGGGATCCTCACTCATGGCCACCGATACTGGCGATTCACACCCAACATCGACACCCGGATGCATGTCTTTTGAACGGCTGAATGATTCTGCTGATCATCATTCTGCTTATTGATCGCGGTCGATTGTTGGAGCGCGGGTCGGTCACGCCTATTTTCTACGCCTTTGCTCTATCTTGTTCTTCGACGTACTTTTGGGGAATTCACGACTTTACGCATGGCTCGGGTAACTCTTGATGGTTGGAGTGTTGCACAATGGATAAACCTTCGGGTTTTGTCCTTTGAGCGACCACAACGCCTTCAGGAGACTTTCCTGAACGGCATGTCCGGTACTCCTATTTCTGGGTGTACCGAACCTGTGGGGTTATCACTGCTACTCGCAAAGTAGCCTTGCACCTCGGAATGCCACATACCATGGTGTCGATAATACAAGATTCACCCCTGGAGCTGAATTTGGGTCAACATTACGCCATGGCTCACCTTTCCGTCGATGCGGCTCAGCTCGATCCCCTAGCAGGCATTTCCTTCATTGTATCTTTCTTTGCTTTCTTTTAATCTGCACGGACGTTTGCTCTCCTCTTTTGAGTTTGCTCCTGCCTGTCGGAGATAGCTTCTGGGGAGGCAACAGGGGACGCATTTCAGGAGTTATGTTGCTGGTAAAGCTATTCTCGACACTGTGTCGCGAATGGAAGGCCTGTTACGAATAGCAGTCGACGATGGCAGAGGATCTTTGGTACAGTGGCAGATGCAACAGTGGGAATTACCGGCCCAAGTTAAGGTCAGCTCCGGTATCCTGCTGTTTCGGCTTGGTGGATGGAATCAGGTAATTCATTGGGCGAACGAGTTGACACAAGTTGCTGCAGCCTTCAAAACACCATGGTGAGGCGGAAGCTGTCATGGTACTTTGATTATGAAGTCCAAGATCAGGAAATCAGGTATCAAACGAAACTTCACAGCAGCCGACAAGGGACCCATGGTTGATGAGCCTACATTTTCAATCGTCGGGTTGAGCAACCCTGCATTTCACGTACACCCATTCATCCCTTCATTCATTTCTTGATCGCACATTAGGTAGTCTACAAATTCAGTATGTTTATTTGGTTTTTTTTTTTTTGTTAACTTGCGATTGGTGAGTCATGCCGTTCGTACTTGATATTCTATAGCCTAATTAGGTGAACTAAGTTAAACCCTGATATCGTGAAGCCTAGGCAGTTGTGAAGGCTTTCAGTTGAATCATGAACCAAACTGATGTCTGGCTTGTATGCTAATCAAGTGATGGGACGACATGCTGAAGGCACAAACTTGAATGGGTGTACAAGGAACTACCGTCCAATGATAAGGTCTTTTGGATGGTCACATGTGGTGGAATGAGTGCCTCGCAGGTCTCGTTATCTTGGACGGTAACGAGGATGTCAGGAGCTGATTACACAGGAGGCCAACAGACAATACATTCACATGATGTCCTGTCTCCTCTTCGTACTTAATTTTGATGCTGCTACTACTGTTCCCTCATATGGGTTGTTGGCCTCTTTAGAGCTTCATCCCAACTTACATTCTCTCATTTAGAAAATGGACAAGTTGGGAAGTATTATATTTCATATATTCATTCATCGTCTCATGAAGAGTCTCCAGTCATTTGTAGTGGATTGGACTAAATACCTCTATGTAACGCAGCTCAATACCTAAGTACCGTACCGAGATTTCAGTTGATAGCCCGTACCTTGCAGGAGGCGGAAAGTGTGTGCACAGCATCACAGGTGTCGAAATCTATAGCGTTACTCTGGAAGCCCAAGGAGAAACTTGGACATGCGATCGTACCCTTTTTCGGCCTATACTGACGATTGGATCTCAAGTGATCATGCCTATATGTCGACACCCACCAAACAAAGTCTAAACCGGACCAAAAGTCGATAGTGATCGACAAAACCAAGCATTAACCCCACATTTTCCTTGCTTGCAGCCAGTTCCAGATCCTCGATCTCACCTGCCCACCAACCTACCTACCTTCCTCCCTGTCTGTCGTGAGCTTCGCGCACCCTCGAGGTTTCCCTTTTAGGCTTGCAGCGGGACCCTTGTTCTCGTCTTCTTTGGTTTCTTAAGTTAGTTAGTTCCTCTCTTCCCATTTCTCTTCATCCCTACAAGATCTTTGGCCGTCTCGCTCTTTTTACAACGAGACTTGAACGTCGTGCGTTGCAATGGCGGCATCGACTTCAGCAACCAAATCCACGCCTACAACATCAACGTCGACTTCCCAATCCAAGCTGTCGTCTTCTTCCGCTCCATCCACCATGACCCCCCCTTCTATTGACCTCTTATACCTCACGTTCAACTGTGCCAAGAGTCTTCTCGATGTTCCCGTCTTCGGCAGCCATTTGCAAACCGCCTTTCGTAAAAACGCAACTGGTTTACCAGAGGTTGTTGTTCTGTAAGCCGCAATCCTCTTCGTCTCTTCCGAAGGCGATCAGGTTACCAACACCCTCGATACGCTGCTAGCTTGGACAATCATGGAACTCGAGACACGATCAGCACAAGGTCTACATAGAGCACCGGGATATCTTGTACTGATTCATGTTCTGTTCGCAGCTCGCTACAGGAGGTTGCACCCTTGGCATACTCCTTCATTGGTGGTTACTTCTTGAACCCATACCTCTCACGATACGAACAAGCTGTCAATATCGCCGCTCAACATATCATTGATGATTTACCGAGTCGAAATAGCGAGGCTGTCGACGCCACGCCCACCACCCTCCCCTCGAAGCCATACACACTTGTGCGAGGCAAGAATGTTGGCTATACCGCCATTTTGCTCTTCGCGCGCGAGCCTTCGAGGCTAAAGAATATTCAAGAGGCGGAAGTCGGGTTTGGGGCCGCTGAGATAGGTAACAAGGGCGCCGTCGGTCTACGCATGCTTTATGAAGCTGATGGTGGCTCGTCTGAGCTGACTTTTGTCGCAACACATCTGGCGGCTATGGAATGGAACTTGCCCCGGCGTAATGCCAACTGGGCTGCTATCATGCGTGGTATGGCTTTTGAAAACCCAGAAGTGGTTGTGAATAGCTACAAGACCTCTGTCACTCCATCTCCAGCCTCAACACCACCTGCAGAAGACGAGCCCGAGCGTGCGCGCCTCCTCGATAATGAGCACAACGAGCAACACTCACAACTTCAACAACAGTTGCACAACATCTCCGTTTTCAGGCCCTCGTCATTCCTCTTTGTTGCTGGCGACCTAAATTATAGAATATCCACCACGTCCCCGCCCCCTTCCGCTGCATTTCCCAGTCTAGATCCGGAGTCGGAAAACTACTATCCAGAATTTTTCCGCCTCGATCAGCTTACACGTGAGCGTAACGCTGGCCGCACTTTACATGGGTTATCAGAACACGAGGTGCGCTTCCCACCGACTTACAAGTACGATGTGTTACCACCACGACCTGGCACGCGAGAGCCCGAGCTTGACGTGCCCTGGAAATTTGCGGTTCATCGCTATCCAGGTTGGACAGACCGAGTCCTATTTCTTGACGTACCTTCATGGCTCAAAAAGGGGAGTAGCCAGGACCCCAAGTTCAACGTTCGTGCTTATGACTGTCTTCCTGTACTGCGTATGAGCGACCATCGTCCGGTGTTCCTACGTATCGACGTGCCCCTCATTTCACCGAGCGATATGGCCCCGCCGTCAGACCTGGACCTTGATATGAGCAAGGACCCTCGGGCCCGACTCCCTATGGAAATTGACCCAGAGGCCTGGGAGCGCCGGGCCGCCGCACGCCGTAAGGAGGTCATGGCAGGCTGGAGCATGTACCTCTGGAGTACTAAGCAGGGTGCCTGTATCCTAGCCACAGTACTCGCTTTTGGTGCAGGTATGTACTGGCTGTACCGGCTGTTCTGAGACACACTTTCTGTACTGTTCTCTCTGGTTTCGGGGGGATGGGGAAAACATACATGCAAGAAGACCTAGCAAGATTTCAAACACTCCAAGGCCTGTTGGGGGTGTTTTGCACTATGCTTGTGACGCAAGATTGCATGTCTGTCGTCGTCCCCCGTCACTAGCTTTATTATTTCCTGGTTCATACAACTCATTTAGATAATACATGGCAGCAGGCAAAGCACTCAAACATCATGTATACAGAGACTTAGCATATGCTGTGTTAGTTTCACTGCTTGCAAGCAAAGGCAAATAGCGTTAACAAGTGAATTCATTGAACATGAAATGAGGTATATGCAAGATTATAGTTCACTGTTCTCGCCGCACACTTCACGTTCCCAAGAAACGGCTATCCGATGTATGGGTATGATCAAGCTTCAGGTGCTATAACTGCTTATATAACTCAGATATCATGAGTCAAACCGTTCGCTTGCACAAGGTGAAAAGACATAAAAAGCAATGGAGCTTGAATGAATATTGGATGCCAAGGAGTAGTATAGTATTTCCTGGTCGAAGTCATTATTCGTAGTCAAACGCCGTTCTCCAGGTGCTTGATCACAGAGGCCTAACAGAAATGCCGATTTAAGAAAATGCTATTTCCGGTGTTGAATCGTGATTCGTCATTGTGTATATGTTCATTCTCAAGGGTCATAGGGGCACCTTGTGTGCTTTTGCGCACATTTTGGGTAGAGTCTGACTGCCGAGTAATTCTCATATATCAAATGGGATGTTCGGCATGATGAGATATCTCGGTACCGATCTCCCAATCCAGGTGGGTGCTGGTTCAGGCGATTAGAAGTCTGCGAAGTATGGGTCATATTTCTCCGCCATCTCGCGTCCATAAGGCTCGCGAGATCCGTCGTCCTCGGGGTAGACGTCGAAGCATTGTGCATCACCCGGGTATCGGATCGGGGGCTGGATGGGGCCTTTTTGCCGACGGTTGAAAATGTCGTCCCAGTTGGTGTCATGGAAGAAAGGGTGAGATTTCACGCGCGCTGCACCGCCGCTTATATTACCAAGGCGCCGAGAACGATCGACGGTGCAGAAAGACCGTATTATATCCTTAGCTTCTTCTGATAAGGGGGGGTCTTGGGGAAAGACAACGGGCTTTTCTAGAATCCTGCGGGGAAATAGTCAATTTGCCATTCTTACACATCTAACGAACAGTTACCCACTGCTTGTAGATCTCGATGGGGTTCTGGTGCCAGAAGGGAGGATACCCCGTCAAGAATTCATATATTAGGATGCCCAGCGCCCACCAGTCAACTGCGCCTGTGTGACCTTTGTTTTGGATGACCTCAGGGGCGAGATACTCAGGTGTCCCACACAAAGTGTATGTCTCGACAGGGCGGTTATCTTCACGGTAGCCGAGTCGCTTAGCAAATCCAAAATCGACAAGCTTTATGTGGCCCTCCTGATCCAGAAGCAGGTTCTCAGGTTTAAGGTCTCGATAGGCAATACCGCCTTGCTGCTCATGCAAGTACTCCAGTACAAGAACAATCTCGGCGGCGTAGAAGCGTGCGACAGGTTCTTCGAAGCGACGTAACTTTCTAAGATAAGTGAACAACTCGCCCCCGGGAACGTAGTCGAGCAGCATGTAGAGTGAATCCTGGTCGGAGAAGGAGGCGACTAAGTTTGTGATAAAGGGATGGCCTGCGACATCGGCGAGAATAGCGCGTTCGTGTCGGACATGGTCGACTTGTTTGAGACGGATGACTTCTGGTTTCCGTAGGATCTTGAGGGCGTAGACTTCGGGGTTGAGTTGATGATCAAGGGGGATATGCGCAGTTGCGGCGGGGCGGACGAGGCAGACTCGAGCAAAGGTTCCTTTCTCAGGGGGTCAGAGGCGGAAAAGCCATAAGTCTACAAGACATGGACATACCTGTCCCTAGTGTGCGAACTCGCCTGAAGTCGCGAAGATTGAACTTGCGGGTTTGTGGTAATGGACTTGGCGTGGGAGATGTTGGTCCACTAGGAGCATCTTGGGCATGTGAGTGAGAGTTTGCGGAATGCGAGGGTGCAGGGATTCCCGATGATGATGGTAGGCCACCAGCATGTGAGGGCGCAACGGTCGCAGCCATGACTAGAATTGCGGCAACAGAAAGGTGAAGAGCTTGGCGAGCGGGCGAAAGTCAATGTGAATCGATTATTGACTGGGATGAAGGCGCGAACCCATAACAACCCGAGACCAACACTACCAGAAAATCGGTTGATATGGCCAGTAAGTTGGAGGCGGTTCGAAAAGCGAGGGAGTTTCCAGCATAAGCTGAGTTGTTTGCCGCTGTCGCCGGTGGTTGTGCTCTTGTCACGCGGTCAATTGGGGGGTTCTAGAGCAAGTCTGGCTCGGTTCTCCTGGCGATGCGGAGTCGATGGGTAACGGAGTGATGCGGCGTCCTCAAGTCCAGCTCAGCTATTCCAAGTGGCAACTCCAAGGACAGAGGTTCGGATTAAGTGCAAAGCTTCGATCAAGAGATGGTTTAGGATTATTGGCAGGCAGGTCAAAGCCAAAAGTGAGGCTCAGGAAGAGAAGACTCTGAGGCGGATGGAAAGAGAAACGACGAAAAGGCGGCGGAAGGTGGGCGATGCACGAGCAAGATAGTGATGAAGATGGAGGCAGAAACAGAGGCTAAAAAATGAAGGGCCTTGACGTGATGTTTATGTGCCTTGCCTAGTCTATGAGCTAGACTAGTATAGTAAACAGCCAATGCAGCGTGAGTGCCTATTCAGGATAAGACGAGGGCGTCCCCATGAAACGGTGAGTGAACGAGCGGCCATCGGGTGTCATGGATATGCTCGGCTGGCGGCCGAAGAAGGACCAACAGCATGGCACAAGTATTTGAAAAAGAGCCGTATGTGGTGAATAAAAGAGTATATATAGACTTCAGAACATAGAGCTGATATTCCATTGACATTTCTCCCTGAACTAGTGATCCTTTACCTATTTCTAAGGCGGCGTTTCTATGAACCAAAACTCCAGGTTGACTTGAAAATACATGTAATCTGTCTGGGCTTCAGCCTCCTATCAAATACATTCTATACTGTAGATACAGCGGAGCACTTAAAGTGGACTCGGCGGCGGGGGTCCAGAATCTATTATGACGCAAAATGTGGGTGACGGGGAACTTGAAAGGTCACCCAGAGATACCCTTTTGGTGATCGACAAGTTGTCAGTGGTGGTGTCAAGCTTATGGCTTCTGCTATTTGACGTAAAGGGGGGTTATAGTGCATAATCAGAGACGAATACACTCTCACTCGTTCCCCTTATCTCTTTCCAGTCACAAACTCACTGTCAAATGCTAATATAATTTAGGATCAAGCTTCAGTCATCTCCAATAACGACCTGTCGACAATTAACACAAAGAAACCTAGATCAACCTTAATACACATCATCTGTCGCCGGCTCTTGCTCCCAGCCTGCCGGATCCTAGAATTAGATCCCTGAAATTGGAATGTCACTTCAAGACATGCCATCCCCACGCCTTCGCTCCCTCCATGTCATTCCATGCAGTCCATCCTATGTACTGATCAAGCGGCGACTGCTTTCTGCTTTCTTCCAAAGATAACAGACCACCCGTGTACGCCAAATCTGAGTCGCAGGAAATAACGGGCTGCACTGGGTATGTCGGCAGTATCGCCAAGCAATTATCCGTACCGTCAGGCAGCATTGTTCGGACTCGAGTCTTTTGAGCAGGAAGTGCAAGTAGATAGCGCTCAAACTCAATGCTGGTTCCAATGACGGCAGTTGGGTGTCTCTACCTATTACTAGTAGCCTAAGTCGGCAACGATACTGCCAGGGTCAGTTGGGAAACCCGTTTTCTGCCAAAAGGCAGCAGAAACATGGTGGGTTTAAGCTTTCGGGCCTGGGGATGGCCTCAATCATACTAGACCTAGCTTCACACAACTCGCAAGGTTTGTCCTTTGCCTAACTGGTCAGTAGTGGCACAGCATGTCTCGACGTTCAGAGTTGGCAGTTGGCTGGTATTTTTGCTCCTTGATCACATGGCTCCGCATAATCCATATCTAGATACCTAGCATTGAAGAGCTAAATGTCTAAAAGCCGGGAACTTTGTATTCTCTTACTCATCTATAGGATTCGGCTGTGGCCAACCAAGTCTATTGAAGAAACTTGGCCAGGCATATACTCCTGTAAATATCCTGAAACTCCAATAGTGAATCTGCTTTTGCCTATCTATTCTGGCTTAAACTATTACTTTTAAAAGGGCAAATCAGGTCAAGTCAACCATAATGTATTCTTTCATGAGCATCTAAATTACCCTACTCAGGAAAATATTGATCTATAGATACCAGGTATTATACCTAGATGTAAGCTCTTTATGGCATGTCTATACCTTTCAAAAGCCCCGTGCAGAGAAATGGACTGTGTCCTGTCTGCAGTATTTCCTGGGCATTCAATGCAAATAGCATCATTGCTTAAAACTTCTAGACAAGCCTATTATGGTACACACAACGCTTCCGCCGTACATTGTTCAGTATTTCTTTTATCTGGGAGCTGTCTCTACAACTGTTGTTCATTGTTTCCGTGCATAGCGCCTTGGTTATCTCCAAATATTGCTATTTATGGGTTTAACTCAAAGAGAACAATACAAACAATCTATGCTGAGTCCGTGTTGAGCCCGTGATGTTTTTGTTTTCAGGAACACGATGAACATCCCGTGAAAATAATATATTCCTTTATTGTTTGATCGTTATGTATCTTGTAGAGTTCCATAAGCAACTATTTAACTTAACTAAACTCACCTTCAGCTTGCCTATAGCTACGGAATATTAACAGTAATCCTACTGACTGTAAGAATAATTCTTTTTGTGCATTTATCCGGTTCTTGCTATTCTTCATTATGAGTTTCATTAAGCTTCTTCTTTGCTGTCACTCTAGCACAACCAGTGCGAGCGATCCTCTACAGCCTCGTCCCGTGGAACTTCAACAGGATAAGAAAGGCCGCTATTCCTCGGGGCGCCCTAATTATGCCGCCTCTGAGTATGGGAAATCTATTGCCTTTTCAGCGGCCATATCTATCGACAGTGACGGCTTTCCAACACAGAGAAGCCTTGGAACACTGGCAGTGCTCAACCCCAACCAGTCAATTCACTACAGTGTTGGTCCTAAGTATGGCAGAGCTTCTTAGCTCGGCCCAGCTTGAGTTTAACCCTACTGGTAGAGGTATGGATTGATGGGATATATACATAATAGCTATAGTATAACGCCTTATATTGTGTTATTGAAAAAAGAAAGAAAAAACACTCATTTTGTTGGCTACAGCATTGCTTATGTCTTTGTGTAGAAAGTTAAAGTTGTAATTTACTGTATTTAAGTATGAAGCTATAGGGTAAGTTCATATCCCTCGACAGTTCTAATAGCTTGAGCCACAGTTTAAGCCACGCCATTTCTACAGTAGCTCAACTGTGCTCTAAATGGACAGGAAAGCTCCCTAGGCAACTTAACCCGATAGCCCTAGGAAGCCCCTAGCAGCGGCTCTTGGGTGAGGAATGCCCTGAGGTTCCCTGGCCAGTAGCTGACGGTCCATCTCCCGTATCTGGAGACTTGACGCAGCTCGACCCCATCCATCTCCACTAACCTCAGGTTTCCTCTCCATAACTTAAGCTGTCTTCATCCTTCATTCAGCCCCAATACTAAAATTCTACCGCCTGTTCTGCACTCTCGCATGTCTAGTCTTTTATACTCGGTCAAATAATCGCAAACGGCCTCGCTTTCTCACGCTCTTTCTGTGTCTTCTGCTCCCAGCCTTTCTTCTTCCAGCTCAGCCGCATACTCCCTGTCGAACCGCATCCCCCTCGTCATGCGCCGCTGACCGAAATCATGTTCTCAAACTTGACCAATATTGTCCAGAAAGCACAGCAGCTTATTGATCCTACCCAGGGACTCAATCTGTCCAGTTCCGATCGCAATCCTTCCAAGTCGTCCCTATTCCAAAGTCAATTCCGTCTCCCCGCCTCCCAGACACCCCTCTACGAGATCAACGCCGAGCTTACTATTCCACCTTCCAACGCGACACACGGCGATAAGGATCAAGAAAGAGGATGGCATTATGCTGGAAAACTTCATCTGTCAGAGCAATTTATGTGCTTCTCGACAACCCCTACTAGCTTTGTCCAATCCGCCAGTACTTCCACGTCAACCGCTTTCACTGGCCAAACACATGGCGGAGGACCCAGCGGCAACGGCTTCACATTTCCATTATGTGCTATACGAAGAGTTGAGCGCTTGAATAGCCAGAACTTTCAGGTATGACTTATACCGGCGAGATGCTCGTGCGTATTGCATAAACTGACCTCACCCTGTTCTAGTTCGCACTCGCTCTGACCACCTGGAATGGCCTTCTCGCCGACACTCCTAAAGACAAGGATTCGAAGGACAAAAAGGACTTAAGAGAGCAACGTATCACAATCCATCTTGCCGGGACTAGACAGTCTTGCGAGCGTTTTTGTGATGGCCTCAAAAAGGGCCTAAGGGCAGGAGTTGGTAATGTAGCCAAGCTGCGACGAGTCGCTGCTGAGTGCTATTCTGAGCATCTCCTCAGAACCGAAGACAGGAAAAATGCCCCCCCACCAGACGCCGGTCTAGGAATGCTCTTCCGATACCCTGGCGACCCGAAGAAGCTACGAGACAGGGCGAAAATGCGCCTCTGGGCTGAGTATTTACGTGACAATGGTCGAAACTTTACCCTGATCCGCCAGCCAACTTTCCACAAGCTCATTCGTGTTGGTTTGCCTAACCGGCTCAGAGGCGAGATTTGGGAACTCACATCTGGCTCGATTTATTTACGCCTGGAAAATCCAGCGCTCTATACTGATACCCTGGCAAAGTTTGAAGGTCAAGAGTCGCTCGCTATCGACGAGATCGAAAAGGACCTCAACCGAAGCCTTCCAGAGTATCCAGGCTTCCAAAGCGAGGATGGAATCAACCGCCTACGTCGGGTATTAACTGCTTACAGTTGGGTCAATGCGGAGGTCGGATATTGCCAAGCCATGAATATTGTCGTGGCCGCATTATTGATTTACATGTCTGAAGCCCAAGCTTTCTTTCTCCTCTCAGCGCTTTGCGACAGACTGGTTCCCGGGTATTACTCTACGACCATGTATGGAACCCTTCTTGATCAGAAGGTATTTGAGTCCTTGGTGGAGAGGACAATGCCCATCCTCTGGGATCATCTTGTCAAAAGCGACGTGCAGTTGTCTGTCGTCTCGCTCCCTTGGTTTCTGTCACTTTACATCAACTCGATGCCCCTTGTCTTTGCCTTCCGTGTTCTGGACGTCTTCTTCGTCGAAGGACCAAAGGTACTGTTTCAGGTAGGGTTGGCAATTTTGCGCATCAATGGCGAGGAGTTGCTTGATGCGGCGGATGACGGGGCCTTCATTTCAGTCCTGAAGGCCTACTTCTCCCGCTTAGATGAGTCGGCTCACCCCAAATCTGAAAATCCAAAGTTGCGTGCCGTGACCCGATTCCAGGAACTGATGGTCGTGGCCTTCAAGGAGTTCGCAGGAATAACTCACAGCAGTATCACCGAGCTGCGTTTAAAGAATAAGGATGCCGTCCTCAATAATATTGAGAACTTTGCTAAGAGGACAGCTATTCGCAATCTGGGTCCTGAAAGCAAATTGTTAAGTACTGATGAGCTTGGTTCACTATACGATCGGTTCTACAATATCTTATACGAACGTCAGCAGAGGGACCATATGATTCAACAAGAGAAACTACGGCGGGCGAAGTCAAGCAGGATGCGGGCATCTGAGATATTCACGACTCATCACGACGAAGTTGAAAAGGGACGCGTTGGGTTAGGTCCAAGTACAAGTCTCATGGACTACGATGCATTCCGCGAATTTCTTGCTAGCATGTCAAAATGGGCCATATCGGATTCACCAGGAGCGACGAAGTATGGCAATTATGAAGACCGTCAAAATATGTTTCACAGCGCCAGGCGGCCATCCGAACTGATGTCACCCTGGGGTGGAGGACCTGAGCCTGCTGATCACGAATTTCTGCAACGTTTGTTCAAGAGGTGGGATGTGGATGGCAGCTCTGCCTTGACTCTGCAGAACGTTGTGACAGGTCTAGCGCAGATCAAAGGGAAACGTGACATTATGGGCACCATTACATACTTCTTCGAGTTATATGACGACGATGAGGACGGCAAAGTTGACCGTGAAGGTATCTTACGGATTTCAGAAGCTTTGTTATTTCTGTCTCGTCGGGGTCTCGAGGGCACATTGAGCCCTGGAACCTCGAGTGTCCTTGAAAGCGATTCAGCAAGTGGACAGGAATCACAAGCTAGCTTGCCGCCTGGTATATCGACTAATGAGAGGTTCCTGGGAAGTGTGAGTGCTTTTATAAGGCGGTGTTTCGAGTACGCCGATCCAGCTAGCGGGCATAATGACATGACCTTGGCAACACCAGATGATGAAAACTCAAAAGAAGAAGCGTTTGCGATAGGTGATGAGGATGGGGATGAGGAAGATGAAGAAGATCTTTTGGGCCCTGAATCTCCTATCGGAACCCCGACAAAGGCTAAGAAGCCCAGCCTCTCATCGGAAAGTTCTCTTAGCACTGCTGACGACCACAATGCGGCCTCGAGACGCAGGGTATCGAAAGCCAAATCTGAGGCAGCAAATGCGGCGCTAGATCCTGCGCATCCTCTGCACCTTACCTTGCCAACCTTCCGCATGGTTGTCCTCGCGGATGAGTTGCTAGAGCAATTTTTTGAGTCATCTTTCCCAGCTTCTTTCCACATCATCGAGGGGCTGCCCAACGCAGCATCCTCAGCATCATCTCTTACAACATTCTCCAGTCTGGGTTTTGGAGCCAGGCCTCCAATTCCCCCGCCTGTCGGCCCTCCAGGAGCAGGCCGTGGCTTACGCGGCGTGCTCGATAACATTGTCACGGACGGAATGCGTGTCGCCACTGAGGTCAGAAGACGAATGGAGGAGGCTCAGAAGGAACTTGAGAAGAACGCTCTGCCCGGTCAGCGACCTGAAGAAGAAGAAGAAGATGACGATGATCTTGGAGTTGAAGTCGGCGTGAGAAAAGGACCTTCAGGCAGCAGCACCGACATCGAACGACGATCCGTGAGGAGTTCGGACCGGGATTTATTAGACGGGGCAGATGCAGAGGCTGGCGCGTCAAGCAAGCCGCAAGAACAGAGCTTACTTGACGTGAACCCCAACGAAGGTAGGCCCCGTGCTGGTACAGCGACTTCGACGGGGTCGACTGGAGGATCGGCAGTGGTAGAGTTTGAAGGATAGAGCCGTGATATTAGTGCCATGAGACGACTTTGTAAACAACGAAATGAAATGTCTATGGTTCATGTTGTCAACAATGCCCACATCGTGTAGGGTTCTTTCTTTCTTTTTCTTTTTTTTGAGCAGGTGAATGACTGTAACCGGACTAGGGGGGGATTGGCGTAACGTGTACAGGAGCTTCAGTATGGGTTAAATAGGTAGAGGGCAAAGTTTTATCAGTTTTCAGGTGTATCTTGACGAGAATTCTCTCGATATTAGGATCTATGAGCACGAGTATTCCTGACTACTGGGACTGTGTAATATACAGCAAGGAACTTGTTGGACCAGGCACTATGCATCTGCTGAAAGGTGAGATGACTTGACCAAGATTCGACTTTCAAATTCTCTACATGTTCCAAATAACTATATTGTCTCACTCAAAAGGGAGTTTGTTCAACGAGGTCTTCTGATTTGGCATAAATCGTCACTTTCGAGTGAGCTTATGTCACTGAACCATTAACCCTTTTTTCCACGATCGAAAGGGTTAGACGATAGTGACGTTATGAATGACCAATTAGATTATCAAGTTTATCGTAACTACCTTACCTAGGTAGCCATGAACAAGCGACTGGCCGGGTGAGCCTACCTAGACTAGCATTTCTCCAGTAGATAAGAGGCAGATAGGTAAGAAGGAAGACTTTAATAACTGGCCAACATATTGAAAGCTGAGTTTGTGGCTATTCACGTAGACAGGACATTTCTAGCACTTCATGAGTCCAAGGAAGCATGTTAGAGAAAAGTCCTTGAGCTCTAACGAAAGTGAATTAACAAATTGCCGGCATGGGATTGGGTCTCTGTATTGAAAAGTTACTCTTCGACATATAAGGATAATATATAGTATAGATAGCTGTCATATGAGAAGAACAATTGAGCTTAAACGAGGGATATTGATGTCGATCATTGATATTACTGTAAATACTAGCTTGGAATTACCTCAGTGTAAAAGAATGAAGCTTAAAAAACTTAGAATGGCGCCAAAGAAACTACCTATCTACCTAATGAATGCCCCGCTATCCAAAAATGACATCATCAACGTCGATACGCATGTAATCAACAACCTTGAGTACCTTAGATAAGGTAATAAGTGGCAGGAGATGAGTCTTGTCTACGACTCAGCTAAATTTGAGAGCATATAGTCCTCTCCAAGCAATACTTTCGAACTACCAGCCTCCGCTGCAACCCTTTGAGCTACTATACAGACAGGAGGACTCCGGTTAATGCACTTACCTCGTTATGGCAGTCATACTCATTGTGGGAGCTACTCGTGGCTTGGGTGCCAGCATTACCAAGAAGTATGTCGAAAAGAGCGAAAACACCGTCTACGGCACGACCAGGTCATCCGAGGGACCGAAAGATTCACCCGCAGAAGTCAAATGGCTTTCTAATATTGACCTTATGCAATCCAACGTTGGTCAGAAGCTGGCCAGTCTCCTAGACCCAGCCCAGCCAATTGACTCGGTGGTGAGTAGCATTTCCAACTGCAGCAATAGGACCAGAGTCAACGTTTCATGAGACTAAAGAACAATGAAAGATCATCACAGCCGGCTACTTTGCTACAGAAGATCTCACCTCGGACAAAGGCCCAAAATGGGAGGAAGAGCAGCGGATGTATACGACCAGCTCCATTGCCCCCGTCTTTATCGTCCACCAGCTCATCCACAAAGGCCTCTTGCGCAAGGGCTCCAAGGTAGTGCTTGTGTCTTCCGAGTCTGGCAGCATCACTCTGCGACATCCAAAGGAAGGGGGCGGCAACTACGCTCACCACGCCAGCAAGGCGGCTCTCAACATGGTTGGCAAGCTGCTTAGCTTAGATCTTAAGGATCAGGGCGTTATTATCAGCATCGTGCACCCAGGCTTTATGCGAACTGAAATGACAAAAGGCGTAGGGTTTGACAAGTTCTGGGATGAAGGTGGAGGTGAGACCTCGCAAGCACTGGTCACATATGGTGTTGTGGTAACTAACCAGAGTTTGATCAACTAGCTGTGACACCAGACAAGGCGGCGGCGAGCCTCATCGAGTGGATCGATAATCTTGATATTAGCAAAACTGGAGAATACTGGGCACCGCGAGGACCGCGTGAGTAGCTTCCAAACGATTCGCGTCGTGACATGCCAGTGGAGTGCTAACCAGCGATTATCTGCTTGATTAGGAGATATTGGGACTGCTGAGGTTGTCCTAGGTGAAGGCTTAGCTACACCACTGCATCTACCCTGGTAAAGAAAACGGCAACGGCTCTAGTCTATCAACATCGCTTTAGCGACAACGGCTGGACTGAAGCTGTTGCTGGTAGGAGCCGCCAACAGATGGGTAGAGATTGCCAACCGGAAATTACTGCAATCTCACCTATCGGCAACGCGCTTAGAAGCGATGTACCCCGTACAGTTCTTCCATTTAGACGAGGCAAGCTATCGTATTTGTCTATTGTGGGTGACGAAATTGAAGAGTGTGGGGTTGGGGGATTCAGGGTCCTTACGTAGCAATGGACTAGCAGAGTCACGATACTGCATCTGGTCTGGCTGCAATGATTAACCTAGCTTGGCAGATCATTAATTTATGAACTTGTGATCATCATATAGAATCATGAAATGGTGCTTTGCTGCGTTACGCAAGTGAGTAGTTCCGTCTTCTCATATGATTAGGATCGGCCGTAGGCTATGAGGCGCTGTCCCACCAGAAAGAATGAGCTGCATACTTGATTGGGACTATAGGTCATCACGATGGATCCTGCTGTGCACGCCGAGGTTCGCATCATTCCCCCGTTCAGAGGGAGATTGCTCAAGATCTGCCTGCAACAGGAGACTTACAGTCCATGCATTCTTGATGCTACTCTTATGTGCGAGTTGCAGATATAGTAGGATAGATGGTGGCCCCATTATGTAGCACGTGGTCATGATCCCTAGTCGAGACACCAGCCAAGTCCGGGTATTGTAATTAGAATGCTACTGTTAGGTTCAGTCTGGACCAGGCCCGAGCAAGCCTTTTACTGACTAGGTCAAGGAAATGGGGAATGAAAGAACACGAGGCTGGGTTTCTTGGTGTTGCTCTGTGCTGTATCTCTCACTACTCTTGTTGTGAATAGGCGCGTATCTTTGGTACGGCTGGTTTGCAGAAGGGCTTGACTGGCATCTCTAATAACGAGATAGACAGTATCTCGGCGCATCTTGCTTGATAATACGAGATCTCAACGGCCGCGTTGTGCATGCTTGGCATGGTAAGGCCCCGACAGAGACCCCCTGAAGTTGACAAAGAAGACGAAAAAGGAGACTGATATAAAGTAAATTTGAGCCATCATCGATAATCGGGGCTGTTGTTAGTTGTGGAGTTTGGCTTCTTTGGCGTCAGGGGCATGGCATTTTGTCACTTATGGAGAAGAGGCGGCTCCTTCATTGGCCGGGCTAGGCTTAGTGATTGCCATGTTTAAGGGGTAGGGTGGCATTGTATTCGGCCGACATCCACTAAGAAATGACAGTGCGGCCAGGATATATATGCAAGGTAGGGAAGCAATGCTGAAGATACATTGATGCTCGTGCTTATATGTATGTACGTGAATTCCTTGGGTTCAAATTCTGTCGTTTGATCGTAGACACTCACAATTACCCACGTAATAAGGGAAAGCAAATGGTGCTCCAGACGTCCTCAGAAATACGCCATGGCGGCGGTACGAGGCCTATGTGGGCCTGGCCAGGGCATCCGTGAGCCAGGTTGAACAGTCTAGCCAACCTTGCTAGTGAGAGCCTCTCTGATGTCTGCGATCGAAGTCAGGGCCAGACTTTGGCCCAGGGTCGACATACCTGGTACTTGAATGTTTAGGAAGATGGATGATGAAGCTAGAATTTACAAAAAGTAGTTGAATAAGACTCAATGCTTTCGGTCCACGCTTCGACATAGCATGCTGATGACGGGCTATGGAGTAGGTTCTGATAACTGCCAATGTGCAGGAGGCGTTGCAGTTGTCGGGTGCCGTTGAAATAAGGCTGTTACAAAGTCTCAAACCGAAAGATGCAAAATTGGACAGGGAAATGTTAAATCACAGCCACAGTCACAAATGTCCGTAGCTCAAGTCAGGCCTTGTAGGTACCTACTTAATAATTAGATCGGAAGCTGGGCCAAGCTCGATTCAGCTCAGCCAAGGTTGTCCAGCCCATGTTCAGCATCTGAACTGACGCTGAGTTGCTTCCTCCCGTCGGCTTTACCCCAAAATCTGATGCACTAGGTACCGTACCTGCACAAACAAACTGACTCTTTCCCCGTCTGACCACATTCACCGACTTGCTTCACCAGCCCAGACGTAGAGCTATCAGGACGGGAGCCCCAGGGCATTTCCCCATTCGTTCTGGTCCGTACTTGCCCGGCTAAGGTTCTCAGAAGGCTCCTCGTGACTCCATCTTTCTCCTCTCCATTGATCGTTTTGATCTTCTTTCACCCTCAATTCCACACAACGTTCACTTCTCCGGCTTGTGGCTCAAGTTGCCTCGAGCGCTCCTTTCTTCTTCCTTTCCTCCTCCTCCTCTCTCACCCCATTCACTGGCACAGCCAACACAACTAGAGATTGGCAATCCATTCCTTTCATCATAGCATCGCCGTTATACAGTACCGAGGACTTCACAAACCCTGGCAACGCAACCAACTCTCCAACAAAACCGATTTAAGGCAGCATATCGCTCACGCAGTATCCATCACCCACCTTCTATCCTTCGTACACCTCTGTTCGCTGCTGAGCCTTTCTGAAGTTTGACCCTGGAACCACTGATCTCAATCTCAAGGCGAATCCTTATTCGCATTCCACCAACCGACGGATCGACCTTTTCACCAACGACGGCCCCTCTTCGCTCCGCTATCACCATCGATCGCAGCTCAACAAATACAGCTACTCTGTCTCCCTAATTGCAGGCACCGGAACGTCCTGTTTACAGTACTAAAAAGTCAGCGACACTGCTCGAAAATCGATCCTTCCTGGACCCTGATTTTACCCTCTTGTTGTTGTCCTCCACCCCTGTCGGGCAACATCGTGTACGACCCAGTGGCCAACCCCTGCCAGTCCCGCCTTTGAACAGGCCCCTGCCCAAGTTCGACAGCCGTGAGCATTGACCTGCCCCGCTAAACAGGCCTATTGACGAGTCGCCAAACTCGACCCCGAGTGGTTTAGCCAAGCACCTGCAAATTGAACACACCCTTCATCAGCATTTTGTTGATTTTTGGTACTTGGCTTTGCAAAATACGTTCTACAAAGACCCGTTCCAGCTTTTGCACTCGGTAGTGCCATATCAATTAGCCTCCCGGGCTCAGGCAATCGATCCTTCTTGAACCCTACGATTCATCAAGACTTTGACCTAAGAGCATCTGCCGCTAAGACGATCGCACTACTTTCTCAGGCCATCCAACCCCTTTCTCAGCCCTTGGCCCTTGGGCACTACGAAGGCCACTCACCCCAGAGCTATTGACCCACCAGGTGCCTGAACAAAGTTGAACGGCAGAACGGGATTCGACTTGCGTTTGAGTGGCGTACCGTACTCTTATTGACTTGGTATGACGCTGGGTCTGAGCTTCCAGGACAGAGGAATTTAATTCATCCCGAGCTACGTATTTTACCACGGCCAGCTCTTTGAATTTCAACTCTTGGCGAAGTTGCTCCCGTCCTTGTTTGCGCAAGCCCAGGCTCTATTCCTCTCTTTTATACCACACCCGTAACGCATTGTTACCTGGCGTTGCAACGACTGCCGTTTCCTCTGTTACTTTATATCGATTGGCTCCGCATTCTCTCCTGGATCTTCAAATCAGAAACACAAGCCCAAGCTTGACCCTTTTGCAATCATGTCTACTGCTCAGTCTTTTCAGTCCGGTAAGCGCCCGCCCCTTGATTTCGCTTTGATGTGATCTGCGACAACCACCCCGTTCCCAAAGTTTCCCCTTCTGTTTTCACCGAGATTCGCGTCCAATAGCTGCCAAAGCTCGGCGCTTGGAATCTTGTAAACAAAGGAGACTGGATCGCAAGTCAACTTGGTGGAACAATTTATCAGAAGCTTGCTGTTCGATCCACTTGGCTGGCATCCATCTTGTGTCATGCTGAGGAGATTGTCTGTTTCATCTTGGTCCATCTGTCGTCGTCATTGCATGCATGCGCCCGTTTGTCTGGCACCCAGCTGATAGTTTTCTTGGAAACAGGCCACACCAGTTCTGGCCAATCTCCTGGTCTCACACTCAACTTATCTTCTAATAACCCCTTCCGCAACCGCGCACCATCTCCAGCCAGTGCCGACCTTCTTTTCCCCAGCAAACCCGCCTCTCCCTTTGACGACCCCCCAGCACGACCTTTATCTCGAAACCCATTTCTCGATCAACCACCGGTTGACTTATTGTCACAACCTCTTAGGTCACCTGGTGCAATGTCATCTCACTCAGACTCTAAGTCTCTATCAGCCGAGGAGATTTTTGTACGTACTCCAGTTCAATGCTTTTCTTCCACCACCGCCTCTCAAACGTGTAGGGAATGGTTAATTCTCGATGGCGTTGCCGACGATTTCTTGCACTGATATTAACCTGCCATTAAATAGAACTCCATGACCCTTGATGATTCTTCCAACGGGCGAACGAGACAGCAGGCCACTCGCCGACCGATGAATGGACCGCCTCCAAGACGCGGCGGCGAAAACCCGCCACCTGAGAATGGCAATCACCGCCCTACGCATTCCCAGGAAGAAGCTCTTCGTGCCCGAAGGATGCAAGGTTCCGGACCCCGACCGCAACAGAGCTCACCGCAACGACGTGCCCCACCGCGACATCCCCGACGAAATTCTGAGTCTTCTTTGGTTGATTTTGATGCTCGTCCAATTACAGAGGAGGAGAAGAGAATGATCGAGGCGGCCAGACGACGTGAATACGAACGACAGCGTCGCGGAGAGGGCAAGGAGCGCGGTGATAGAGGCGACCGTGACCGTGACCGTGACCGTGACCGCGATCGCCGTGAGCGGGGCGATAGGGAGAAGACCAGTCGCCCCAGCAGAAAGATGGATATTATCGACCAACTTGATGCCACAAGCATTTATGGGACTGGACGTACGTGCACCCCCCCTTAATCCTATACTTGGTTATTGCTAACAGAGTACAGTGTTCCATCATGATGGACCATTCGACGCTCTGAACCCTCACCGAAATCGCCAAAACGCGAGACGTGCGCCAATGCAAGCCTTCCCTAAAGATTCGCTCAACAACTCTCTTGGAGGGGCTGGGCCGCTTAATGCTCGAGCTGATCATTCAGTTCTCATGGGAAACGCCACAGATGAGGCTTTCAGAGACTTTTCTGCACCTTCTAAAGCCCGTAGCAAGGAGCCCGCCATTTTCGATGCATCAGGTCGAGACCAGATTGTTCACGGAGATGAGTCTGTTGGCCTAGGTACCTCAACTTTCTTGGAGGGGACACCCGCTGCGCGAAGTGCCATTCAGCGTCACCAGGCTGAACAGGCTCAGGAAAACACAGAGGGCGGTCTACAGCGCAAGAAGTCGCTTGCACAACGTATTCGCCACATTAATAAGGGTACTCGTGATTATAACCAGTCGGGGCGTCCCAATGGCGAATATTCCAGAATCACCCCAGATGCCTATCCGACAGCAGCCAGTACCAGTTCAGACAACAACCCCTTCTTTGCCGAATTCGGTAAAGGTGAGGAGGGTTTCAGCGTAAGGCCGCGAGATGGCTCAATGACATCCAACAGTCCTCCTGGAGCGAGACGCCCTTCTGCCGGAGCTGTCCTTGAGCGACGGGCGACAACTGATGCTGCTACAACTTTAGACGATGCCCCAGCAAAGCCTACCGGGCTTATGGGACGAATGAAGAGCTTAAAGGGACGAAAGCCTCGGCCAGAGATCCCTAGCAACGGGCCCGGTGTGCCCGGAACGGCCGTTTAGTGGAGGACAGGTGCCGGGCGACTCCTTGACTCAAGTCGAAGTCCGAAGCGATGGCAGTCAAGGCAGGACAGTCTTCTGGAAAATATGAATGAGCACGCGAATGAGAGTTCGTGGGCTAATAGTCTGCCAACACGAGATCAAGAAAATGCGGCGCCAAGGGAGACAGAGAAATGTGAAGCGTACGCCTCAAGCACGGTACAAGAATCTGAACCATTGCTTTACGATGCTGCAGAGGTTGAAGCAAAGAGTCTTGGCCAGGCACTCAATTATTCAAGAAAGCGGTATGCAAATGCGACGAGATAAGCTCTATTTAGTCTCTAGATACCGATGAAGTTTCTATTTATTATCTCTCTCTTTTTTTTTTTTTTGCTGAGTTCGGGACAGGATGGGTAGCATGGGTTATAGGAAACCAAGCCCATTGGTCGGGTCATTTGCTCTATTTTGGAGATTTACATCAGGCAGGTCTGACGCAGCAGGAACCTCAAAAGCTCGAGTCGTCATCAGGTCATGTCACGATGCCAGAAAGGACATGGGACTACCGACCGAGACCTGGGAGGTTATTATGAAGCCTTTTTTGTATGTTTTATATCAGGACTTGATGTCTGAATTGTGGCAGCATCAGTAAATTCAAATGCGATATATTATCGTGTGTAAACAATGACCGTGGCTCTACCGTGATTTGGTTTGTACCATAGTAGGTTGTGGACCAGCTCAAGAGATGATGTCATTCTCATCTTTGAGCATGTTGATCTCCTGATATCATGTCTAGCAAAGCTTCAAAAGAAAGCATGCGATTCATGTTTGCTTAGGGGGTCGCGTTGTCGCTTTGGGGCTAACTACCTACTAATCTTGAAGCTTATCCAACATGAGGTGAGGAGCAGCAATGCACTTGGACCTTCCATAGCACCCAACCAAAACAATACCAGGCCACAAACTACCTTACTCCATGAACCCACCACCAAGTCCTCCATCACAGGCGAGCTCCCACTTTCAGCTTGAACCAGTTCCTGCTGCAATACTGGCCGATAAAGAAGTCAAAAGGCGCGATGCAATCGCACTGTTGGGAGCCTGCAAGACAGGATGCAAAGCCATTGACGAGGAGGTCATGTTAGGCGGCTTTGAACGCGGAAGTGTTGTGGGTATCAGCGCTGAAGATGAAGAGCTAGCGGTTCAGGTAAGATCAACAATCAGATAAGGTCATGGTGTGAAAGAAACGTCCAACTAATTTTCGGCATCAGCTTGGTCTCCAGACCCTTGCACATTCACTTTGTGAAGGTACGGTTACAAGTGGCCTGCTCATCACTCCCAGGCCAGCAAGCGTAATGCTGGCTGGGCTGAGGGACGCGGTGAAGGCCGAACTCGAGGCCAAATGGTGCGCAAAGGATACTATAAAGATGAAACTCAGACAGTGTCTCGAAAAAGTCATGCTGTCTTGTGTATTTGACTTGAATGGTCTATGGGAGGCACTGGCAGATCTGGATTGCGAGTTGGTTGAAGAGAAGGATGATGCGCCGCAGGAACAAAGGACAACAAATAGACAACGTGAAACAACATATCAGTTTGACGAGATCCAGGACAGTCAGGATGACGATGATGAGGCTTTCTCCCCCATTCAGCAAGCTTCGCAGCCACGAGCAGAGAAGCCGTATAGCAAGACACCACAGCACCCAGACGTCATCGTCATTACGCATTTCTCATCTCTTCTGACAAGTCTCTTCTTTCACCGCGAGAAATCAGCGGCGCATGCCGCCCTTCAACTTCTGAGCCCACATCTCCGCGATCTCTCGCGCAATCTGCCATCGAAACCACTGATTCTTCTACTGAACTCGACATCAGCGGTTTCCTCGGGTCCAGCACTCGCAACCGTAGCCGCAACTTCACCAGCGAAGCAAAGCCAAGTTGACCCAACACTACGATCCATCTTCAACCCACCCCCATCCACCGGCTACAGCGCCCGGCGTACGAAACCCAACTTCGGTCTGATATTTACGCAGCTACTGGACTTGCACTTACTATGCACAAAAGTCCCGAAGACAAGGCAGGATGCTGAGGGAACAGCGAGGCAACGTCCTGGGGATGAGATTGAGATGGTATGGGTCGTAGAGGTGTTGTTGGACGAGCTGGGCGTCTGGGAAGGCAATACAGGATCTAGGCCAGGGAGAGAGCAGAGATGGGCGGCCGTGAAACTTGAGAGGGGGAGAATCGGAACAGCAATTGATGAGAAGGAGCCCCAGGCTAAAGTTCCAAATACAAGCGACGTGAGGCTTGCGGGGGGCTTTGGAGGACGGAGAGTATAAGGTAATTATGGCAAGTTGTAACGAACGGCGAAGCTATATGAACTCCAAACTTAGGTAGGCTTACGATATCCAAGTGGGTTTGGGGATACGAATTATGGTGTACTCAGCCCGATGAGTAGCTAAAAGGCCTTGTATCTCTATAGAGCTCATTTAATATTTGTGGTGTGGTGTGCTATGATAGAAATGTTCTATGATACCTACCTAGGTAGGCAAGTTGCAGCACTCGCATCGTCCGTTCTATTCCCGGCGCACAGTCACCCAATCATATCTCGACCGCAAAACTGCCTTCTGAAGACGCACTATGGGTTGACCTAAAGGTTACATGATCTGAGCCGTGGTGCCGTTGCCAAAGCCTCCCCAACCAAGATGCCCAGCTCATGCAAAGAACTGCGTAAGCTATTCACTGACCCTGACATACAGCCCACATATCAATCATTCTAACACCCGATGCTTTCCCAGGCGAAGCACTCGCGCAGTGTCTCCAAGAATCCGAGTGTGTCATGGTCGAGCGCAACAGCGCCGCCGACTGCCTCCGCGAGCCTCTCGTCAACACCCTCCCCCTCAAGTGCCGACAGCTGAAGAAGGGCTTCGGCGAGTGCAAGCGTGGTATGGTGGATATGCGTAAAAGATTTCGCGGCAACATGCCCGTGGCATACCGTACGATGGAACAGGCCGAGGAGGGTCAAGGATACCAACTCTACGCCGGACGGCCGGCATTTGCGGGCGGTGTCAAGAAGACAGACGGAAACGAGCCCATTCCTCAAGATTGGAGAGAAGTCGAGAATGAGAAGTGGAAGGCAGAGCAGGCAGCCATAGAGCAGCAGAAGAAGTGAGATTGAGGTCGTTACCTGACTGGACCAATCTTTTCGATATGGGCTATGCGTGGTACGGCAACCACTACTTGTGCCAGTATTGATACCACCATCTTCCTGCTTGCCTAAACGCCGAAGACGATAGAAGGCAATGCTGAGGTTGGCCTGAACCGACTGAGCTGAAACGATTCGACATAACGAATTTGACGGGCGAAGACTTTTTCATATATTAAAAAAGAAGAAGAAAAGAAAAGAAAAGAAAAGAAAAGAAAAGAGTTGAAATTCTCACGTTCTGCCGTGATACAAGACTGCGGTTTGCTCTACTCTACCTACTCAACATTTGTACAATAGCTGTATAATGCTTCTTGCCCCCCACATTGGTAAGTTACTTGGCCAGTCACATTGCCAACCCAACTTACAACTCAAGTAACGTTGATTACCTTGGACAATAGTGGTCAATTCATGCTTATTGGCGTTCTAAATTAAAGTTTCTGGCCTGTGTCGGGTATCATTCAACCTGGTTGCATCTCACCTCACTACCTAACGGACATGTTCCCCACAACCCGAAAACATACGCAATTGGGCGAGGAAATAAAGCCCATCAGTGACAAGAATTGATCAAGAATTATGAACATGATAGATCTTCCCTATCATGGCCGGAGCCCGCACCTGGCCCAAGAGGGAAGTCATCCTCGTGTGTCCTGCGTAACACTTTGAACACCCCCTCTCAGCGCCAGATGTGTTGCATACTGGAAATATCCTAGCAAGAGGCTTGGCTCGTTGTAAAGAAAATAACCCAGTGGTTGGGAGGAATCGGTAAATTAGTGGCCTCTTGGTTTAATCGCTTCGCCATGACTTGACGGACCATTCGGTGTTTAGTTTAGGTATTCTTGGAACAATTTACTCTGTGCCATTTGCTATCCCCCCTAGGCAGATTGGGTAACCTACTTACCGTACTGCCTTATCTTCTGCTTCTTGAAAGGTCTCACCACGACCGCCTGAGACGTTCAGTTACATCTTTGTGTGGCAATAGGTATCTCTCCCTTCTCTCCTGAGCTCAACCCACTCATTCACCTGCCCAGCGCCGAGTCAAGCTGTGCCAAGATCAGGTCGAGCCAAGTATCCATCGCCTCGCCAAATTTAGTAATGCGGTCTGGTCTACAACTGGCGCCGCTGTCGTTGTCGTCATAACTTCACTACAGTCCTCGACCTCACTTCGCATTGTCGCATCTATATTTCCTCTCCGATCCGTGCCGCCACAGACGATGGCCATCATGATTACTGCCCCGCAGCGGCGTCTACTTGTCCTCCTCTCGACTTTCTTCTTCGTGTTTAGCATTTTCTATTGCTGTTCGCGTCTCGCAGCATTGACAGTTGGACCTGCAGAGGTCGAGGAAGAAGTCCTGCGACCGCAAGTCGAACTTCTCAGAGCCGATAACCCCATGTCTTATGGCATGTATAACAGACCGCACTACGATGGTATCGACCTCATCAGGAATCTGCCGAGCGAATACGTCCCTACAGCAAAGAATGGAAGGAGAGTAGTCGTGGTTGGTGATATCCACGGCATGCTTGACCCATTCGAGAAACTACTCAAGAAGATCGAATTCAACCCCAAAACAGACCACGTTATTGCAGTTGGCGATATGATTAACAAGGGCCCGAAGTCTTCCGAGGTCGTTGCTCGTCTTATGGAACTCAAAGCCAGCGCGGTTCGTGGTAACCACGAAGATCGCGTCATTCTTGCATGGCGCGGCCTCAGTTCTCAGCAGGGCGTCGCCGCCTACCTCGATACGAAAGATGCCGCCAAGCACAGGGGCGAAGAGGCATACTTGAAGACAGCTCGCAGTCTTTCTGAAGCGCAAATGACGTGGCTGAGAAACCTACCGGTTATTATATCTGCCGAATCTATGGCCCTCTACTTTGTGCACGCCGGTCTCGTCCCAGGCGTTCCACTCCCTCAACAAGACGCCTGGGCTGTCATGAACATGCGCACCTTGCGGTTTCCCCGTGAAGAATTCCGTAAGAAGGAAATCGAAAAGAAACGAAAACAGGCTGAGAAACTGCGACAAAAGGAGCTAGCAAAGGCGCAGGAGGACGTGCAGACAAAGTTTCAGCAGCGTAGTTTCGTTCCCGGAGAAGAGGGCACCGACTCACATGCACGCGTTGCCCGCGATGAACCCGCTCCAGCCGATTCCGCAGGTGCCGTATTGTCAGCCGACGAAGCCGCCGCCGAACGCACGAACCCCGATCGCGATGTCTGGATTCCCATAGATGGCCATGAAGGTGAACGATGGACCGACCTATGGAATAGCAAGCAAAGAAAATTGCGAGGACCCGATCGTCGTTCTGTTATTTACGGCCACGATGCCAAGATGGGCTATCAGGAGGACTCGTACACCTTCGGCCTCGACTCAGGTTGCGTCAAGGGTAACGCCCTGACTGCGCTGGTTATCCAGGCCAAGGAGGAAGGTGGCTGGAAACACTCAACCCATCAGGTTATGTGCAAAAAGGGCTGGTGGTAAGGCCTCTCGATTTCGATGATACGATATCATGCTGTATGTACAATGATGGGTTTGGGTCAATACTCGGGCAGGCGGGTTACTCATTTCAGTTAGACGGCGTTATGGGTCATGATAATGACGGGTCCTTTCTTGTCAAAATACATAGACGGGAGTTCTCACGTAAACTAATGATAACAGTTCCATGACGTTTGTTGGATGATGCTACCAGCTTTGGGGGTAACGTATCCCCGGTTTTCGTTATGTAACCGCTATCTGTTTCAATGGGTGCCTCATGCACAAGGCAAATTACGGCCAATGACTTCGCCTCAAGTTGAGGAAGACTAGATGGATTGAACTATAGAAGATGTGTGGTATAAGCAACGACAACTCCCCAGCAAAGATCGTGAACAAATTATAGTCGGTTGTCCGCAGTCAGCTTCAATGCTTTCTGCATACCCACGTCAACACTGTCCTATTTAACTTTTTAATCATTCTCTTAATTCATTAAGCGTGCAAAAGATTTAGGAGAGCTTCTCCTTGAGGATGCTCTTAAGGGTGACAGCATCAGCAGCGAACTTGCTGATACCCTCTCGGAGCTTCTCGACGGCCATCTGATCCTCATTGAAGTCAAAGCGGAAGAGAGCCTCATCATTGATGTAGGACTTCTTCTCAATATCTAGAGAAGCAGCCTGGGAAGCATCAAGCTTCTTGGGAACAGGCTCGTTGGAGTTCAGGAGGTCCTCAAGCAGGTTGGGCTGTAGAAAAAGAAATTAGCACACTTGATTCCTGTTCGCAATACACGCTTGATAGAACATACAGAGATGGTCAAGTAGTCGCAGCCAGCAAGCTCAGTGATCTCGCCAGTGTTTCGGAAAGAGGCGCCCATGACGATGGTGTTGTAACCGAACTTCTTGTAGTAGTTGAAGATGGTTTTGACGGACTGGACACCAGGGTCCTCCTCCTTAGAGTAGTCCTTCTTGGTAGAGGCCTTGAACCAGTCAAGAATACGACCGACAAAGGGAGAGATGAGGTAGGCACCGGCCTCGGCAGCACCAATAGCTTGGACAAGAGAGAACATGAGGGTGAGGTTGGTGTTGATGCCGTGGTCGCGCTGGAGAATCTCAGCAGCCTTGATGCCCTCCCAAGTGGCGGCGACCTTGATCAGGATGCGATCCTTGGAGATGCCCTGTTCACCGTAAAGCTTTGAATTTGCGTTAGTACTTCGTCTCAAGTCATACCCAATTGCTATGGTGGCTTACCTCAATGAGGTGAAGAGCCTTGTTGACGGAGGCCTCGGTATCGAAAGAGTATCGGGCATCAACCTCAGTAGAGACCTTGCCGGGGATGATCTTGAGAATCTCCTTGCCGAACTCGACAAGAAGACGGTCGAGAGCATCATCGACCTGCTGGTCGATGGGGCCACCCTTCTGCTTAGCGTAGTCAATGGCGACATCGATCAACTTGGCGTACTCGGCCTTCTTGGAGGCAGCGAGAATGAGAGAAGGGTTGGTGGTGGCATCCTGAGGCTTGTACTTGCCAATGGCTATTGGAATGTCAGCTACTGTTCACTTTATCATATCATGCCATGTCATATCATGACGATCATGACTCGTTATGTCACATGGGCGAAAATGCAACACCTGGTAAGGATAACAGGAGTCGTGGGCTCGGGGCGCATAATGAGAGGGATGTATACTAACAGGCAAAGTCACCTAAGAGTAATAAGTTAGTAAAGCACTTGATCGAGTCCAGGAAGTGCGGTAATTACCAGAGTCAGACACAACAGTCTATTGCAGTGGAAACAAACAGACGGTCAGCTATCAATTTCTTAGGAGAAACGTAGATATGGAAAGGTGAAAACAGCATCTGATCGCGAGGACGACCAAGGCCGAGGAATTGGTGAGTCCAATTGATCAGAGGTGTCGTTTGTCAAGCTTAAACATGATGCCATGCTCGCTTTCGTTCGCGTTCACAAATAAGTTGGAGGGGTAATGGTGGGGTGACATACAGTGCCAGTGGCCTTGAGCTGGTCGAGAGAGGAAGACATGATGAATGGTATTAATTCGTATCACGAGAAGTTTCGTTGAAGAGATGAGAAAGTGAGATGGAAAAGAAAAAAGAGAAGAGGAAGAAGAGGAAGGCGAGGGAACAACAAGAAAAAAGATTGGGGATTCCACCGAAAGTCGGGAAGGAACCTGACGTACACACGACGACTGGCGCCTTCTTTGCTGTTCGTCTTCGCCCCTCACCCTCAGTTCGGCCTCTCTTACTTCACCCCTCCTCTGTGTGTTTGAGCCCATAGCGACGTCCACTGCCCCACTACCTTGGTATGTCATAAGGATCGTGCTTGGGTACCTTGACCTGGGCTCTCACCTCAACTGCTTCACCTACGGCCTAGGTACCTCAATAGCTCAAGGCTCTCAGTTACAGCCGCGCCAGCCAGGAGTGGTGGGAACTATCTTCCTCTACCCTTCAATCTGAATTGGAGTACCACGTATGCTGTGGTGCTGACTTGTGCTTTCCCGTATCTCGTAATTGAATTACTCATCACTGCACTTTGGCTATGGTTATCAGTCATTCTATGCAAAATTCCTCGTCACTCTTTCAAACACTGACAATATCAGCAAAGCGACATATCCTTCGCTTGTCTTGGTAATCGCTACCGCTGCTCACCCCCCAACGTTTCTACTCTCACCTCAGTCTAAGCGGACAAGGCGGGCAATCAAACCCCCACTCTCCTGGAGCTCAGTTGCTCCAATGGCCCGTCCAGACCTCGCCGAGTCCACCGAGACCCTCAATGATGTCGGTAGCATACCTATGGACATAGAATGCCGTGGATAAGTACTACATGGTTGTAACTAAGGTGATTCGAGCACCGCTAGGTACCTGCACGGCGGATATGTTGATTTGCAAATTCTACATACTAAAAGGTTATTTAGCCGCTTACTTTTGCCTGCAACTGGGCCTGTGCCATATTCAGTATCAGCGTTTCTGTACATTATCCGCTGCTGTGTCTGGTCACTTTCAACACCATTTCACCGAAAATTGCGCCCCTCAGATCATTGTTGCAGCAGATCCGTTGCATCCATTACATTGTATTAGATGCTGGACTTTAGATAGCGCCCGTTAAATCACTCTTCACAGCACGTGGAGGTGGTGAGTAAAAAAGGACGCATGCGCTCGGCGGGGAGAAACCCGATGTTACCGGAACTCCCGTATGAGTGAGCACTTCGGAAGCCAGCAGGCCGATAACATGGCGTTTCAACAAGACATCACTCACGGTCAAGAGAAGTCTAGGCCCATAATTCTGATTGCGACTTCTGCTCAAGTCCGCGCGAATAACACGCGCAGTACTTCAACAAATGACCCAACAATGCCCCTACGAACGGTTGGCATTGGCTGATATTGTTCAGCATGCTTATTTAGATATGAGCTAAACTCATTGCTGTTTGGCGTCGAACTCGCTCATCACGTTGCAACTGCTTATGTTAATATTGCTCACCTTTTGGAAGAACAAGCCATGCTTGCTAGTAGTTGCCATTCATACAGCAATCTAGTAACGGCTCTTTTCTATTTCTCATGTTTGTAACTAGTACTTAGATGGTAACTGCCAATCCCGTGGCCGCCCCTGGACACCTTTTCCTTCCTTGGTTTTCGCACTTGTAGCCTCCATCAGTCAACCCATTTGTAAAATATTTGTAACCAAGATCTTTGCTACATAATCATCGTCAACGCCAACCTTGAAACCGGAGCTGCTTAGTCTTCAGTGATATCTCCATACTCCCACATACCCAGGCGCTGGTCCTTTGCCTGGCTCTCAACCTCTTTAAGGTGCTTGAGTGTAGACTCAAACGCCTTGCTGCGTTCCCAAGCCTTGAGCTTCTTAGGCACCATGCCATACCCACCGGCAACAACTTCCTTGTTGATAGAGTCATTGGGTCCGGGGAGTTCTCCAGAGGATCCGGTGTCATACAGTGTGACATAGCTCAGATTCTCCTTGTTGTCAATAAAGTCGAAGTTGGCAACAAGTCGCTTATTCTCAGTGAGTTCGTAGATGAAACCGATAGCGTCTTCGAAATAGTCGGCACCGGTAGGAAGTTGAACAAATGAGAGAGACGCATCAATAGCCTGAGCCTTCAACTTCTGTGTACCAAACTTGGGCTGATCCAGTGCTCGTAGGTTAGACCAGGGGATCTTCTCACTGTTGCCGTAGTCGATATAAACAACTTCAGACTTCTTGGCACTGCGGTCGTTGGCCCTCACACGGGCTCGGTACCACTGACCATCAGCAGAGAATTTGGCCGAGACGTACTCTCCTGCCTTGGGAGCATCCTTGAGAGGGTTGTTGTTTTTGGAATCAAGGTGGAATCTTCGGAACTCGCTCATCAAGCTCTCAAGAGCGGCTGTTCCCTTGCCAATCTCTTGGACCTTTAGCTTACCGTTAGCGTCGATGTTGGTGATGACAACATCGCGGTAGTCGGTGGGCTTCTTGTCGATAGAGACTTCGGTTTCAGGGGCAGTTTCAGCAGTATCGTCTTCCTCGTATTCCTCGTCCTGTGTTGGGTCCCAGTCTTGCCACAAGTTCTTCCGAGCCTCCTTGGCCTTCTTCTCAGCCGTGAATAGCTCAGCAGCGTTGCCAGACTTTTCAGCAGAATAAGCGTGAACAGACGCGAGACCTTCTTCAACTAAGACCTTGGCAAAGTTTTCTCGGTTGATGTAAAGGTCACCAATGAAGCCGCCAACCTTGTCCATATCGTGGATGTCCACCTCACAGTCGCGCTGGTTGCATCGACGGTTGGCAAGATCAAGAGACTCCTTGCCGAAAGGCTCACCACCTTCGCCATCGGCCCTCGGAGCTCGAGGCGCACGAATTCCTCCCAGAACCATTGTGAGTTTTACATTCTCTCGTGGAATCAAAATAGTGAACCTAGAACCGGCTTTGCAGAAGTCAACAATGGCAGGCACCTTCTTTTGTCGTTGTAGGGTAGCTAGCATGATTTTGGCCTTTTGTGTGTTTTCGGAGAGGTCGGTGTACTGTTTTGCCTTCTGAGGCTTGCCTGACCACATACCCTTCTTCTCCTCCTTAGCCTTCTCTTGGGCAGCAAGGAGATCGTCATAGTTAGGGGCTCGATCAGTGTCATCCTTGCGGTGTCGAATGACTGACGCCCATCCATTCTCAACCAAGAGAAGGTTGATGTTGGTATTCTTTTCGGTGACAGTGGCGACTTCACGAGCCTCATATCCTTCTGTCGCGGGTTTGTTACCATCAATGCTGATTCGGACATGTTTTCCGATCAGCTTTTGACGAAGAAACTCCTTGGCTTCTTCTCGGAAAGGGCTTTCTGAAGGCTCCGTAGTACGGGGCCCTCGGACACTGCTGATGCTGATGCGCTTCTCTGTTGTTCCGGCCTTGTTTCTTACGAGAATGGTATCGGCACCAATGATCTTGGATACAATTGCGTCTTGGTTTCCGCTCTCAGTCTTAGCAACATGGTGTTTGTGAAGCCGGAGCTTCTTGGACTGTGCCTGTTTTTCAGCAGCACGGAGAGCAGCCATCTTCTCACCCAACAGAGTAGAATGGAAGTCATTGCATCGTGCAAGGCCTTCCTGCAGCAGAAACTCGGCAATGTTTCCTCGGGGGTGGATAATGGCAGCAACGAGCTGCCCTTGAGGGCTAGCACCAACAATCTCGACCTTGATCTGGCGCTGGAGCAGTCTTGACTCGACAAATGATCTAGCCTCATTTCCGTGTTCCTCGGCAGGCTGAGTGGTGCCAGTTGAGGGAAGTGTGCGCTCGGTGGCAGGCGTTCGGATACCTGCAATTAGTGTCATGGGCTGAACGTGCTTCTTCTCGGAGAGCAAGAGTCGCACTAATAGGCGATCGCCACTAAGAACTCGCTCAACAACACCATCCACTGTCTTGCCTTTCCATTCCTTCATGAATTCGGGGCCACCGAGATCATTTTGAACTTCAATGATACCACCAACTCCAACGTGGAGTCCCTTGTCCTCGGCCTTGGCCTTGTTCTCGAGCTGGCGAAGTGTCTCAAGGCGGTCAAGTACCTCATCCGACTCCTCCTTACGGCCAGCATCCTCGCGGACCTTTAGCCAGCCAGCTTTAACAAGCTCATCGGGCAGAATGGTTCCATCCTGGAGCTGAGCAGTACCGAATTCTCGACCGGAAGTAGGGATTGTGTACAAAACGGTTGCTTGAACGGGCTTTCCGACGACGAGGTTTCGAAGGTACTCGCGAGACTGGAAGGCAAAAGGCTCGTCGCCTTCACGCTTCAAGTGAGGGGCCGTGACATAGGCGAGAGACAGGGTCCGCTCAGCGTTGGGGTTGTTGGGGCTTGTCAATATCAGCGTGTCACCACTAAGCACGCTTTTGACATTGCCGATAAAGGTTTTGGACATTGTGGCGGACACAGGAGGACGACGCGGAAAGACCTGTTTGAGTCAAGTTCATGTTAGTCGAATACCGAGAATTGAAGGGCAACAGCGATTATGACAAGGCACGGGAAGAGCGCTGGAAAACAAAACGGGGGTGCATTAGGAGACAATAAAGACTGCTGCAGTGGGAGTTACCACAATCCAAGGAGGTTTTGAATGAAATACCAAGCTAAGCAGACCTTCAATGGAGTTTCAAGCTCGCTTGAGTGCCGACACCGCCAAATGACAAGGAATCACGACATGACGTTATGGGTCAAAAAGATATTTCACACGTACCTGGGATAGGGGAATTGTGTTTCTTTTTGGTTGATCAAGCCTTGTTGAGAAACCAAGTTGAGCTCAAACAAGGGAAGTCAAGGACAGGAGGTAACAAGAAAGAAAGAGCTTCATCCTAAACATGTGGAGTTAAAGTCGAAATCGCGTGAGGTCCCTTATGGCAAGGTGGCCCCAAGGCCAAGTTCGCCGCTAAAGTGTTGATTGTGGAGACAAAGCTCAGGGGTTCATGGCGGATGGATGCCCCTCCAGCTAGTGACCGCGGGGTACCAGCCAGCCAGCACCACCTAGAAAGGGCAGCTGTCTCCTGTGGCATCAGCTAGGGCGAAGCTTTACCAAAGTGGCTAGGAGCCCAGAAGGAAGCTCTAGTGTTTGGAACTACGGCAAGCTCATGTAGGCGGAGCTGTCGCAAATTCGGTCCTCTTGCAATGCGATCAAAATGTTAAATGAATAAATTCCCGTTACCTGGAATAAATAATGCCAATACTACGATATAGAGATAGATGGCGCATGGTATGTCTGAGACTATCCTAGTGATGGAGTCATGGACTTCTCTCAGTGGATCCAAGTTGTCTTCGAACCCCTCACGTGTGGCAACATGATAAAAATACATGTGGCCAATTCCAACGAACATATCGCTGGTCTATGAGAATAAAAGTGTACGTGATTTGATACTTTCACCAGTTTGCATCGAAAGTCACTAATTGACAGTACTTGGCTTGATTGTATTTAACTATTTTCCATTGTGTCTCATCGTAACGTAGTGCAGTACATGCGACGCCGGACTATTCATTACGGCTTCTTGATCCAAGCAATAAAGTCCAGTATTATTTGTTTTCTTAGTTAGAGATGCCGATAACACCTAATAAGGAATTAGCGCTAGCATATAAGCTGGGTGTTGGCTTAAGCATACCGCAAGCAGGTCGGGGACCAGCGTTACCAGTCTTGAGAGACTCCTCGTTATCACCCTTGCCAAGGTCGTCAGTGCCGGCGTGGATAACGACAGTTCGCTATGCTATTGTCAGTGAAATGTTGGACATAGACAATAATCCTCTTACACCAATAATGCTGTGAGGGCCAATCAGCTTGATAAGAGAGTCGGTGACAGAGCCCTTGGCGTTGCCCTGGCCATCAGTCTCCAGGTTTCCGAGGTCTCCAACGTGACGGGTCTCGTCAGAGGGGGCACCATGGGTCTTGTTGTGAGGGTTGACTGACATTAAACTTGTTAGCGCGTTATGAACAAGAGCAAGGCTGAAGATATGTGACAGGAGATCGGCCAACGATCGGGCCCGTCCGTAAAACCCAAGTAGAGGGCGGTGCATCATGCAGGAACAAACTCACAGTGAGGGCCAGCGGAAGTGCATCCGTTAGTGTTGTCACCGAAGGTGTGGATGTGAAATCCTCGTTTGGCGTTGGGATCGTTACCGGTGATGTCCCAGGTGATGGTGGTAGGGGCAGATTCGGACTCCTGCTCGAAGATGACGGTGCCGGAGACCTTGGAGTCACCGCGGAGAACGCTCACTGCGAGATACCGTGTTAGCCAGCTTCAGCACATATAGTTGTGACACATGATGCCATTCCCCGCGCCGGTGATGGCTCTGAGCCTCTGAGAGCTAAGCAGTTCTCCAACCTTGATGGACGACAATGACTGTTGAGTCATGGTGAGCCCATCAAGGGACCTTCAATTATCATTTGATGTTCCTCTTGGGGAAGAGACAAGCCCATCAAGGTACGTCAAGTGTGAAATTCGTCATCTCGTTGGACGAGGAGGTCTGGGAAACTCGCTCAAAGCAGCTCGAAGCCCCTCACTGTCACCCGCGGGGCATGGGTGATGCTATCTATAAAAAGAGCCACCCTCTGTAGATGGGCGGTGGCTTGGTGACGGGAAATCTTACCAGCCTTGACCATTTTGATGATTTTTGTTCTTTTGTTGGACGAGTTTGGGTTAGGGAAGCAGTTGAAGATTGAATGATGCAAGTGGAGAGGGGAGCAAAGAGGAGTTTTTGAGGAAGAGTCGGGGTCCGAGGCGGCACGACCTCCGAGCTTCTGAGCTTTCTACCTCGCCAGCTCGACATCTTTCCCCTTCATGCGCTGTGCTCCCCACTCTTGGACTTCCAGAGCCCACTGAGTTGCCCAGTAGCCTTCTCAGCCAATCCCTTAGCAATTCTCACCGAGCTCTGGCAAGCTATGGGACATCTCAGCGTCTCATGAAGCTTAGCAATACTGAGGTGGGGTTACCACCAAGAACCCCGCTCCGTCACACAGTCGTCATTTTACCTAGTCCCAAATAAGGGTTGGCGAATGAGATTACATCATTGATGGAATCGGCTCCTACGGTAGACATCCTAGAGGAGGCAAGAAAGCTTGGGACCTATATCTTAGGCGACAAAAAGGCTTAGGCAGGCTTAGTATAATTTAGTAAGTCTTTATACTAGTTCATTTTGGCACCCTAGTTGAACGTCAGAAGTTTTCTTGCTCTGAGGACGTCTAAGCCGATTTTCGGAGTTGTTTCCTTAGACACAAGCGTTTCATGCCACGGATGAGCATGCTACTATAGTATTGGAAACCGTATGCAATTAAAGGCGTGAAGTGGGGCATGAGCAGGGATGTTTCACTGCATGATGTGGAATCAATCTTGTGAAAATACCATAAGTAAGGTATCCGTGTATGATTATGGTTAATCCCGACAGCAGCATGTCATATTGGGGAACGAGCGGTTCTCTGGCTTGGAACACAAGAGAACAAACAGTCGAGATCCCTAAAGAAACAACAACGAAGGAGACATGGTGTTAGAAAGCAGTTAAACTTATCAAGTAAAAATGTATTATTACCCTCCAGCACGATATGTTCGGTTATCTTATATGGAGGCAGTCCATCTACTATTATCGGCTGTACCTAATGTATTCTGATAACGCGTCTACCTCCTCTTTAGAATACAACTTATTACTCTTTCTTTTCCTTTTGAAGTCTTTCTTATATTTCTGTATCGCCTTCAGCTGCATCTCGCCCATCACAAGCAGATCAGTCATCCCGAGCGACTGTCAGATGCAACCCCATGACTTTTTAGTACGTTGAACGGGTCTTTTTGGAGTCAAATACAAATATCAGCTTCAGAAACGAAACGAGCTGCACGATGGCGCAGTCACGAAAGCACTACGCTTCATTGTGTAACTTCATGTCTTGAGCATCATCGATCCACCGGGCGTGCAATGGCGATCGATTTAGCACTTTGACAAGAGCCATTGCCAGGGTTATTGTCTCAAGAGACGGGATAAATTTCGGGTCATCTTCAAAGGGTGACAGCACCCAAAGGCAGGACCTTCGTTTTGTCGCCGAGGAACTTCGCGCGATACTCGATAATGCCGTTGCTGATGGATTCGAAGTCCTTCACCTTGCGTTTGCGAAAGTCTGTAAGCAATTCGCGGAGTCCGTCAACGTACTGATCATGTTGTTCTGCCTCGCAGTTGCCATAGGCACCAAGTTGAAGGAGAATTTGATCATCTATTGCCGCTCGGCATGTTAGCGTTCCCTCCACTGGCATGCACCCTCGCTTGTTTGTGGTTGCGTGTTTCGTGGATCATGATGGCACGTACCCGGAACCTGCATGTTTTCGAAATGCTGGAATTGGCACTCGCTGCCTCTGGGGCAAACTCCTTCAATGAGCTGGTCAGGGCATACTTCCCTTGTTACGTCGATCTTATTGCTGTAGGTCAAAGAGCGCAACCCTCCTGCCACCGAACCGCTGTACTGAGGATGAAAGCGATAAGCCCTGAAGTATTGAAGAGGCGTCTCATACGGGACGAATGTGGTTTTGTCGATTTTCTCACCAACTTGCGGTGCCTTTAGGACCTCACCCTGTAAAGTAGTTAGCTGTGCAACTCAAGAACGGACCAAGTTTGTCTACTTCTCGATGAGATTCAGATTCTGTGTCTCCATCGCCCGTTGAGATTGGTTGAGTGATTGGAGTTGTCATTGCCATGCCCTGTATATCAGTATCGCTTGTTTCTAACACTCCATGATCGAGTGGTGCATGAGAAGGCGAAGTATGCCAGGAAACAGGGGACTTTGGATCTGGTAGAGGAACGCCGACATGCGTTGGCTCGTAGTCATCGGAATCCTCCTCCCCGCTCGAAGTATCGGCCTCTTCCATTGCCACATCTTCTTCAGCCTCTTCAGTTCCATTCATTGCAGGATCACCAGATACGTTGGCTGTATCGTGTGTGATGGAGGATCCTGTCGCTAATGCAGGGAGGCTATAGGGTACAGTAGTCTCCTCCTTATGTTTCTCAAGCTCTCGAAGTTCACCTTGAGGAGGCTCGTTCATCGTATCCTGGTTAACAGTCGACTCGATGCTCGAGGATTCATCCATCGATGCGTCTGGTTCGGCTTCATCGCAAGGGATATTCATGTTTTCGTTCTCTGCAAGTTCAGTCAATGCTTCTTTTGGGTTTGTCTCTTGAGAGGACCCCTGAACTAATTCAAGATCAGCATAGACTCACGTATAGAATCAATTATGCTAACCATTTGTCACCATATCTAAGCTGACCCTCTGGAAACTCTCCAACTCAGACTCATTTGGCGTTGATGGGTTCAACTCATCTTGTGCAACATCTTCCTTCAATCTCTCTTCTTCAGCCAAGCTGTTCTGAATCTCCTTCTCAAGTCTAGCGGCTTCGGAATATAGTTGCTTGAGTTGCTCGGCCTGTTCCCTTCGCCGAGCTTCAAGAATAGGCAGGCGTTCGCTAGCAACTCGAGCACGCAGCGAGGGTCTTGCTATCACAGGCTGGTCTCTCGCTTTCGGCAACTTGGCAATAGCATGTGGAGAATGATGCACAGTTGACGCAGGGCTACCTTGAGCCACTTCGGTATTTGTCGATACAGCACGCCTTACAGCAGGAGCTGGCGGGACCGGAATGTCCACACTGCCCTCCTTTGAAGGTGATCCAGACCGAGGCAAAGGTGAATTGTTGCCGGACTGTTTTGCCTTCTTACGAGCCTCGGCCTCGGCAATTTTTCGCTTCATATCCTCAATCTTTTTGTTCATACTCTCAAGATCATACATGCCATTGGCACTTGTGGTGGGAGTCCCTGCAGTCTTCGGGCTAGATGCAGCGCGACAAGACGCACTGTCTGGCAGAGCCGGATGATCACGGAAAGATGTTGTTCTTGAGCCAGGAGTCATAGGCCGCTGTATTGAGGAAGGGCGCAACTCAGGAGAATCAATTTCCATCTCAGCGTCGTCTTCATCGTCGCTCACATCGATTAAGAATGGACGAGACTCTCGAGTCTGGCCAAACGGGCGCTTATGAGACATGTCCGTGGAATTCTCGTTCAAGTCCGCTGCAACAGGTCGTTTGCGCTGGTGAGGAACAGGAGAGGGTGCGTTTGATGACAGGAATAACCCAGGAATCGAAGGTGCCGTTGCTGGATCCGCAGTTTCAACATTGACTTCGGGCTGCTCGTCGATATTCACGGAATCAGCACGCGCAAGACTTTGCGACCTGCTAATTTCAGTTACTGGCAGAGGTAGGTGAGGTTCTGAGGGTGTATGAGCTTGGGACGCCGCCTTCGCGTTCGCCTCCCGTGCTTTTATCAATGCCTCCATCTTTTGTTGGATCAGCTTTGACTTCTCCGATTGACTCTTAGTCTTGTCTGTTTTCGTATTGCCTGGCAACAAGGACATCGGTGATGCAGACTTAGCGTTATCAGTGTCTCCCACTGTTGTTTTGGAACCTTTGGCAGCCAATAAACGGGCTATACGGTCCTTTCGTTCTTCAGACTTGTCTTTCATCTGCTCCACGCCCTTAGGCCTACTGGTGGCCGTGCTTGCTATTATGGAAGGACTCTCTGGGCCAAGGGTATTACTTGGTACTTGAGCAACTTTTGATATCGAGGGACCCTTTGGTTCCTCTTGGTTTGTGGTAGTGGCTTCCAAGTCAAGGCCCATCTCCTCAAAAAGCTCATCCAGCAGTGCCCGATCAATTCCTTCTTCGATATAGTTGTGATATCGAACGTTGAGTGGCCAGAGGTGCAGAATCGCCTCTTCAGCCCTTTTCTTAGATTCTGAGATAATTGCATCCATGTGCCTTGCGTCAGTCCTCGGTGTTGAGCTGTATTTGTCGCCATTAGCATTTGTGCTCTTCATGACTACTGCCGACTCTGTCGTTGTAGGGTCATTGGCACCGCGTAGGTTACCTGGTCGGAATTAGTATCACCACAAAGTACCAAGAAACTAAACATACGTGAATTCGACCCACCCTTTTCTGAACCGTCGGATTCTATCTCACGGGGGGAAAGATACGGCGAGTATGAGCCGGAACGTTCGCGACCGAGTTGCTTTGAGTTCAAGGCTCGTTTCTCGACATCGTGGTTGTTTTGCAGGTTCTCGGTCGCGTGATGCATGACAGCTGTTGAATTTGACGGATGGGAGTCATGATTGTCGGCATCGGCACCATCTATCCCGTTGGGCTCATAGATGTCTTCGAGTTCGCCTTCACTGAGTTCACCTTCCTCCATTGTATCCACATCCATTGCAATAGTCGGCCGCAAGTTATATGTTATTGAATGGCTTGATGTGTCGTTATCATCGGGTTTTGTCGTCACATCCTTTGCCATGGCACTGGCCGAGTCTGTTTGAGTATCGGGGATTTTCTGAGGTAATGCTGGTTGCCAGTTCGTAGTGTCATGCGAAAATCTCATTCCTAAACCTGGAATGGCTGTCTGATTATACTCATACGCTTCCGCGACTCCCTGACCATAAGCCGGTTGACTCCCAGCTGCGTCGTGATGATGAAGAGCAGGATTGGTATACGATTCATTCGCTGGGTACACGTACGGCTGCGAGGTTTGGTAGCCATGGGGCGCACCATGGCCATACACGTAACGACTCATCTCTGATGGATATTCTAGGGCTTTGGTGGATCGAAGATGACGTACGCGATCGCATCAGCAAGGAAATCAGATGCAGGTCCAAGATAATGGTCAAGGGGCTGAAGACTTCGGGGATGGATAAGTCAGGAAGGGTGTCAACTTATTCGTCGTGATCTCAACACGCAAACCCCCAGCAGTCAAAGTTGCAGTTTAAAACCGAGAGTTCGAGGTGAGTTTATATAGGGAAACACCTTCAATTTTTTTCTCCGTATGCTGACTGATCTGCGTGTCGAAAGATTTCGTTCGCAGGCGCCCCTAGACGTGATATAGGTAGGTAGGTTGTTGAAGAAATACAACTATGAATATAATCCCATCTTTCTTTGACAGGAATATGCATCGCGTCTAGTCGCATACGGTTTAGCGTGGATCGGGCGCTTAGATCACATGACATGGCTTTGTTTACTCCCGTCAGCTGTCCCTGGCAACGCGCCGACCAGATCGCTGATGTTAATGTCAGTTCCATGCCCACTGCGCTATTCCAATACTTGCATTTGCATTGCATTACTTCATGGCATGTTCATGAAAGGGTGAATCCCAACCACAAGTTCTTGTTATAATTCCGCGTTTTAATTATTGGAAGACCAGGAACTGCGCTTCCCTATTGTTTCTACATCGCACCTGATTTGTTTACTTTGCGTAATCGCACAACCTGGAGTCGAGTATCTGGTCGAGAGCATCGCAACACTACCAATTGTTCATGTGGGCTCTTCAAGATGTCTTTCAACGCCAATGGCACAGCGCATCGGCGCAGTAATCCTTTTGCGAGAACGCCTTCTGCCTCTCCAGCTACAAGTACCAACCTGCGACCTAAATCAGCCATATTCTCTTCCCCTTCATCAACTCCCGGGCTCTCGACACCTCCAGGACACAGCCGGACACAGTCAAATGGTTCGTTATCAGCAATAACTCATGGTTTCTCCGGTGCAGCGCCGAGACAACATCGCAGTGACTCCAAGAGCGGCACTCCAACATCGACGACATTTGCACCGTCATTCATCAAGACTGAGGAAATGAAACGTCATGATACAGTAAAGGGTATTGAAGGTGAAAACGACTTCTCTGGGAAGCGCTACGTCTGGCTTAAGGATCCGCAAGCGGCATTCGTCCGGGGATGGATCGTCGAAGAAATGGATGGCAATCGGTTACTTGTCCAGTGCGACGACGGCACTGTAAGTATCAGCCGATAGTTAGCGTTTCGTATATCTGACAGTTCTTCAGCAAAGAGAGGCGGATGCCGAGAGCGTCGACAAAGTGAACCCTGCCAAGTTCGACAAGGCAAACGATATGGCCGAATTGACGCACTTGAACGAGGCATCTGTTGTCCACAACCTTCACATGCGATACCAAGCCGATTTGATTTATACATACTCGGGCCTCTTCCTTGTAACCGTCAATCCGTATGCGTCGATTCCCATTTACAGCAATGAATACATCAATATGTATCGTGGACGGAGCAGAGAGGACACAAAACCTCATATTTTTGCAATGGCTGATGAAGCCTTCCGCAACCTTGTGGAAGAGGGGAAGAACCAGAGTATTCTAGTAACTGGTGAATCCGGCGCAGGCAAGACAGAGAACACAAAAAAGGTCATCCAATATCTCGCTGCTGTTGCTCAGGCAGACTCGACAATCAAGCACAAAACTCAGCATACTAACCTTTCACAACAAATTCTTCGAGCAAACCCAATTCTTGAGGCATTCGGAAACGCCCAGACCGTCCGCAACAATAATTCCTCACGTTTTGGAAAATTCATTCGCATTGAATTCACTCGAAACGGAGCTATTTGTGGCGCATACATCGACTGGTATCTGCTAGAAAAATCCAGAGTTGTACATATCAACCCACACGAACGAAATTACCACGTCTTCTACCAACTTCTCAAAGGTGCCAGCCCCAGCTTGAAGAGGGAATTCTTAATCGATGGTCTTACAGTCGAGAATTTCAATTATACCAGGGATGGCCACGACACAATCGTGGGTGTCTCAGATCATGATGAATGGGAATCCCTCATGGAAGCATTTAATGTGATGGGGTTCTCGGACGAAGAGCAGAAGTCCATCTTGCGAACTGTGGCGGCGGTACTACACCTGGGCAACATCACCGTTGTCAAAGAAAATCGCACTGCAGACCAAGCCCGTCTGGCACCAGATGCAAAAGAGCAAGCCGCCAAAGTGTGTAAGCTTCTTGGTGTACCATTAGAGCCTTTCTTGAAGGGTCTCCTCCACCCCAAAGTCAAGGCAGGCCGAGAATGGGTTGAGAAGGTACAGACCCCTGAGCAAGTTCGGCTTGGCTTAGACGCTCTTTCGAAGGGCATCTATGAACGCGGTTTCGGTGATCTTGTCAACCGAATCAACGGACAGCTCGATCGTACTGGCATGGGTCTGGAGGATTCACACTTTATCGGAGTACTCGATATCGCCGGTTTTGAGATTTTCGAACAGAATAGCTTTGAGCAGCTATGCATCAACTATACCAACGAAAAGTTGCAGCAATTCTTCAATCACCACATGTTCGTCCTAGAGCAAGAAGAGTATGCGCGTGAGCAGATCGAATGGAAATTCATCGATTTTGGTCGTGACCTACAGCCCACGATTGATTTGATTGAGTTGTCGAATCCAATAGGTGTCTTTTCTTGCCTTGATGAGGATTGTGTTATGCCCAAAGCCACAGACAAGTCATTCACTGAGAAGCTTAATTCTTTATGGGACAAGAAATCTACGAAATACCGACCCTCGCGTCTTGGCCAGGGTTTCATTCTCACCCACTATGCTGCCGAGGTCGAGTACTCTACAGAAGGATGGTTAGAGAAAAACAAGGACCCTCTGAATGATAATATCACCCGTCTTCTCGCTGCCTCGTCAAACAAGCACGTTGCTTCCCTCTTTTCTGACTGTGCTGAATCGGAGGAGGATCACGCCACTGGAAGAAGTAGAGTCAAGAGAGGGCTCTTCCGCACAGTCGCACAGAAACACAAGGAGCATCTTCACAGTCTCATGGCACAACTCCACTCCACCCACCCTCATTTTGTTCGATGTATCCTTCCCAACCACAAAAAGAAGCCAAAGCAGTTCAACAATCTCCTTGTTCTCGACCAATTACGTTGCAATGGTGTTTTGGAAGGTATCAGAATTGCGCGGACTGGTTTCCCCAACCGACTCCCTTTTGCAGAATTTCGACAGCGATACGAGGTTCTTTGCCAGGATATGCCTAAAGGATATCTCGAAGGACAGGCCGCGGCTAGTCTTATGCTTGAAAAGCTTGGACTTGACCGCGCTTTATATCGAGTGGGCTTGACCAAAGTCTTCTTCCGTGCGGGTGTTCTTGCTGAGCTTGAGGAGCAGCGAGATGCTCTTATTACCCAAATCATGTCCAGATTTCAATCAGTCGCTCGAGGGTTCATACAAAGGCGGGCAGCCTACAAGAGGCTATTTCGGGCTGAGGCCACCAGGATCATCCAAAGAAACTTCAATGTTTACCTGGACTTGGCAGAAAACCCCTGGTGGCAGCTGATTGTGAAGATGAAGCCTCTTCTTGGTACCACTCGTACAGCCACGGAAGTCAAGCGAAGGGACGCAATGATCAAGGATCTAAACGAAAAGATGCAACTGGAGTCCCAAAATCGTATGAAACTTGAGGAGGAACGGCGAAATTGCCACGCAGAAATGGTCCGAATCCAGCAAACTCTTGAGAGTGAGCGTGCGCTTGCTTTAGATAAAGAGGAAATCTTCAAGAGGCTTCAGCTTCGAGAAGCGGAGCTCGAGGAGAAGCTTGCGGGAGCAATTGAGGATCAGGAAAGGCTAGAAGACGAATTAGACGACCTTCTAAATGCCAAGAACCGAGCGGAACGAGATGTCGAAACGTACCGTTCTCAACTCGAGCAAGCTGCTACCCTCATCGCTAAGCTTGAGGAGGAGAAAAAGGGTTTGAGCACAAAGATCAGCGAAGTTGAACAATCAATGGCCGACATAACTCAGAGGCAAGCCGAGCGTAGCGAGCAGGAACTTGCTCTGCAAGATGAGATCAAGATGCTTCAAAGTCAATTATCGGTGAAGGAAAGGAAGGTCCAAGATCTGGAGTCCAAGCTTGTGAAGCTAGATCAGGATTCTGAGCTTAAACTTAGCGCAGCTCAAAGAGAGCTGCAGTCGACTAAGCTCCGAGAAACTCAACTTACTCACGAGAACGAAGACATCCAGAGACAGCTCAACGAGCTCTCCAAGACATCGACCGATTATGAGGATCTTGTACGCCAAAAGGAGAGTGAACTCGCTCTTCTACGAACCGACAACAAGAACTTCGAAAGGGAGCGTCAATCTCTTGAGGATCAGAAGAAGTCTCTGACCAGTGAGAAAGAGAAGAACGCCGAGAAGTACCGCGAGGCTCAAGCTGAACTTGTAGCAATGAAGTCACGACAATCTCAACTGGAGCGGGAAGCCGAGGACGCGAAGAACTTGCTGGAAGCACGTCTGTCCGAGGATGCACAGGCGGACCAGAATCGCCAAGTCCTCGAGTCACAAATAAAGGATCTAAAAGATGAGTTGTACAAAACACAGATGGATCTAAGTCGAGAACGCCAGTCTCGAGATGACGTCCAACTACTCGGTGAGCACCGCTACCAAGAGCTGAAGGATGAATTCGATCGTCTTAACGAGTCAAAAATCATCATCGAGAAAGAACTATATGCTCAGCAGGACACCTTACGGAGAACAATGGAGGCTCGGACTACTGCTGAGAAAGAACGTGACGACGCAAGACAAGAGATTCGTCGCCTTCGAGTGGCTAAGACAGAAGCTGAGGAGGCAAGAATGCAAGCCGAGGTCGCTGGCGAGCGACAAGCTTCTAAGGCAGCCCTGGACCGCGAGAACAGTCTGCGAAAGGATCTCGATGCAGCACAGGAACGGCTTCAATGGTTTGAAGGAGAGTGCGCCAAGCTGAACCACCAGATTGAAGACCTCAACAAGCTGATCCTTGAATCGGGCGAATTTGGCTTGAAAAACGATCAAGCCAAAGAAAGACTTGAACGGGAGTTGACCACTGTGAAGAGCCGCCTGACGGCATCAGAGAACGACAATCGTGCTTTGCTGAACAAACTACAGCAGAAAGGGTTGGAGATTGCTCGCTCAAGTTCGCGCGCCAGCGAAGCATCTCGAGGTCAGATCATGTCTCTTCAACGCGAAAAGGCTCGGCTAGAAGAGCAGAACACAAAGCTGAACAAGCAGTTGGGTGATTCCCAACTCGCAATTGCATCGCTTGAGAAAAGAGCGGAGAAATTGCAGCTCAGCCTGGAAGACCTAAGCCATGAGGTTGCCCGTGAAGTCAAATCAAGCAGAAATGCTGAAAAGGCGACTTCTACCTTCACGGCGCAGCTGGCTGAAGCCAATAGAACCATTGAGTCAGAGCGTCAACTACGAACTCAAGCTCAGACTACTATTCGTACGCTGCAAACATCTGTGGATACACGGGACAAGGAAGTGAATGAGCTGCGAGCTCAGATGCTCGATGTTCTACGGACTGTTGATCCAGAGGTTCCCATCCCCCCTCAGTCGGATGGAACTGATGAAAATGTACTTATTCAAAACTTCGATCTTGTGAGAAAGGTTGAGGAGCTTCAGCAAAACCTTCGTGTGCAAACGGCAGCTCGAACAAACGCCGAGAATCAACTTAGTGAAATGCGAGCGTCGCGGAACGACCCTGCTAGCCGACCCAAACTCGAGGAAATCCAGCTTAACGAGGCGCCCTTCCAGGGATCACCAACTCAAAAGAGGGCAGCTAAGCTTCATGCTCGCAATTATTCTAATACGTCCACGCCCACTCGACGCTTCCAGGAACTCGACCATCTTCAAGATTCAACACGTTCCGACCGAACAATCGACACTCTCAGCTTCAACAATCGCATGGATCTGAAAGCCGAAGTCGAGGAACTTCAGAATCAGCTTCAACTTAAGGAAATGCAAAATCGTCACCTTCAGAGCCAGATTGACCGAAGCACGCCTGTACCGGAGAACTACGATGACCAAAGCCCATCTTTGCGTCGTATTCAAAAACTTGAGATGGTCAATACTCGTCTTCATGAAATGCTTGATGACTCTAATAAGAAGGTGTCTGCTCTGGAGCGCACAATTCGGTCCGGGCAGCTTTCATTACGGGATGTACAGACTCGGACACATGAAGAAATTTTAGAGGTCCTGAATAGCCAAGAAGATTCTCGCCGAGCTTTGGTCCATAGTCACAAGGATGCCGTGGCGGAGTTGACCGATATCAAGGGACACTTTGAGAGACTACGACACGATCGCGCCAAGGCCGAAGTTGAGCTCCGCGATGTCAAGTCTGACCTTCAAGAGATGACTCTAGCAAGAGAGCAAGAGGCTCAGAATCGAAATCAACTTCTCCAGGAATTTGCAGATCTCCAGATCCGTCTTGATGCAGAAACCTCGAAGTTTGCCGATGTCTCTTCTAGTCTTGAAATGTACAAGAGCCGCGCAGACGAGTACTTCAGCAAACTCGAACAAGCAGAGATCGCTGTTCTCAAAGCTAGTCGCGCCGAACAGTTTGCCAAGTCTCAGGCAAAGGAAGCCGAAGACACATATGCGGAGGTCATGGCCGAACGTGAGAAGATGGATGCCAGCATTGAGGATCTCCAACGCCAGAACCAACGCCTCGAAGAAAAGGTTGAAGATATTTCAACCGATTTAGCAGCTGCCACTCAGGCTAAGAAGAGACTTCAACACGAACTCGAGGACTACCGTAACCAAAGAGCCATGGAGATCGAGGACAAGGAATCAAGTATGGAGCAGACTCGTAAGAAGTATCAGGCCGAGTTCGCTACATTGACCAACGAGCTTGATCTTGCCCGTGAGGAGAGGCTCTTCAAGCAAGCAGAGATTGCCCGACTTCGAGAAGAACTTGATGAATTGAGGTCAAAGTGGGATGATGAAGTTCTCAACAGCTCGACCTGGTCCAAGGAGAAGGCTCGTCTGGAGTCAACTTTGGCAGATGTCGCTTCCTCTCGCGATGAGGCAGTGAATGCTCATAACGAAGCTCAAGGAAAGGTTGTGACATTACTCTCTCAAGTTCGTACTCTCCGCTCCTCGGTGGACGAGATCACAGCAGAACGAGATCACCTTCTCCGGGAGAAGCGAAATGTTGAGGCTCGCCTCGAGGAGGCGAAATCTGGCCTCGAGGACCTTGTGAAGGGAGACAGTCCCTCTCTGCGCAACGCCGCCAACATGGACAAGGAGATTCTAGAACTCAAGTCACACCTCGCCCAACAAGAAGATATTGCGGCCGCTGCTGTGGAGAAAATGCGCAGAGCAGAAGCCCTGGTGACGGAGGTCCAAAAAGATGTCATGGTGGAGCGCGAAAACAGCATTCAACTGCAGCAACAAAAGGCATCGTTGGAAAAGGTACTGAACGAGGCCCAACTCAAACTTGTTGATCTGGAGACCAAGGGTTACTCGAGTGCCAGCCAGGATGTTAAGTTCCTGCACAAACGCATTCAGGAGGTAAGTTGTTCCTGTAACACTTGACACTTTATCGAAGCTAACATGATGCAGCTCGAATCACAGCTCGAAGACCAGGAGACTGAGCGTAGCAAATCTCAGCGCTCCGTTCGAAATGTAGATCGAATCGTGAAGGATATGCAAGGTCAGATCGACCGCAAGGACAAACAAAACACACAGCTCTCAGAGGATGTCTTAAGGATGCGCGACAAGGTCGAGAAGCTTCTGAAGACCATCGAGGAGCTGCAGTCATCGGAGTCCCAAAATCAGTTGTCAGCTCGACGCGCTGAGCGTGAACTCCGAGAAGAAAAAGAGAAAATTGCTCGATTGGAGCGCGAATTGGTAGGATTGAAGAACCTCCGCAACGACAAGGGGTCGGGCAGCGTCATGGGTAGCGTCCGCAGTCGCATGGGCCCCTGGCGGGTCAGCGAAGGAGATGATGCATCCATGGTGGACATTCCAAGGAGGAAGAGTAGCCTTAGTAGGGTCCCCAGCTTCACAAAAGGATTCCTATAAAGGTAGCGGGGAGTTGAACAAAGGATGCGGATGTAGGATACACACATAAGTTGGGAGCACGTTGATGAGGCGTTGAAGCATTTGTCCAGGGTCTGGGTACTGTAATGGTTTGCAAGGCATGGGAGGCGGGTATGATGAATGGCGGATGGTGTCTAGGATGTCTTTTCTTCGCCAGTGCTTTATGGAGTATTGACTTTGCGTATGATTAATGAGGAGCTTACGCTGCACGTTTTTACTACGCGGGATTCCTTCTTCTCGAGCAAAGTAATTGCATGATAATTTAGCACGACTGGTTGAATGATCAATATTCTTCACCAGTCGCTTCGTGATTGGAGTATCCCATCTCGCATAATATGAACACATCGTATCTTACACATCAAGCTCTGCTTAGCTCTGCAGTATCGAGGAGCGCCTTGGCCGAACAGACAACACAAGAACGTCATTTCTCATCCTCTTGGGGAATGTCTGAAGGTTTCTGGGGCTTCTCCATCCCCATTTTGCCCATAAGTCCCTCTATCAACTCCTCCATCGCTTTCTCATCTTCAGGGCTAACCATCCCAGGCCTGCGGGTCACAGCCTGTGTCCGCTGCCTTAATTCCTCTATCGAAGAGAGATCAAAAGCCCAGGAAATGCCTCCTACCAGCATGATGCCAAAGCTCATGACGTTGAGCGTGGCAAGTCCAAGGGCTTGTACAGCGAGCAAGGATCTGTCACCTGAGTCAAACTTGACTTGGTGTCGGTTGGAAGAGTAAAATTTGGGGAAGGAATTGTGCCGCATTCGTAGCACTGAACGTCTTGATACGGCGACAGATGCAGCAAGGAACCCAGCGCCAGTGAGCAGCAGACCGAACTGTCGAATTGAACGATCCCATGATGGTTGCTGTGGTGCTATTACTGGCGATGTTCTTTGTGGAGTAGCAGAAATAGTTGGTGGAGTTGGTGTTGCTGATGGGATTGAAACATCCGCGGATGGTCTTTCATGGCCTAGTGAAGTTTCCTGGCTTTTCTGGGGTATTGATCCTTTATCAGAGCCGGGGATACCAAGCCATGAGCTTACTAAAGAAGCAAGAATGGGCATTTTTTTTCTTTCGCGATCTGCCAAGTTCTATCTGGTGGCAGTGTTTGTGACGGATAACTGTGCTAGGAACACTAAACTGCTGAATGCCCATTGCTACCTCTACCTTAGTTTCTTGATATTAGGGACATAGCACCCCGCTCATTGCATACGACTGTCATAAATGTAATGGATATTTACATAACCCTCTCACTCAGGTATCACCATGTCATGTCAAGTCAAGTCAAGTCAATGAAGAGTCTCATCAACCTCTCTCCCCAGCAGCCGCCTAATAAATATTCTCTATTTTTCATCTTGGAAGCTATGCCGAAACTAAAAAACAAAGGGCCCAAATCAGGCAAAGTGGAAGCATCTGCGCCGCAGCCATCAGTTCCTCCATCATGGCCAGCTTTCAAGCCTTCTCTACCGATAGTTGACTTGTCCCCCGAACCACATCCATTGACTTCAAAGGTTGTTCTTATACCTTCATTTTTCCCGCGATCGCTCTGCCGCGATTATGTCGCCTTTCTCAAAACCCTCCCTCTACAAACAACGCCAGGTCGTCCCAGGCGGGGCGAAGCAGTTCGTGTCAACGACCGGTTTCAGATTGATAGCTATGACTTTGCTACTCGCTTATGGGAACAAACTGGTTTGAAAGAGGTCTTGCTAGATGGGGATGTTAACGAGAAGTGGTAAGTTTTGCTTCGTTTCAATCCGCCATTTATCTTGAACTGCAATGGTCATGATGCCGTAGACAGCATAATTAATGTTGCGTAGGGATGGTGAGCCTGTTGGACTGAATCCTAATATTCGCGTGTATCGTTACTCGAAAGGCCAGTTTTTTGACTGCCATTGTACGTGTATAAGTCTCATCTCCAACAACCAGCGTAGCGACCTCAATGGCCTAACGACACAAAACCTCCTGCTCCTGTCCTTCCACACGCATTCCATAATTTGCACCCATTTATCTATCTCATGGTTCCCCCTTCTCATTTAACATGCACACCTCAGCTGACTAACGTCTGTTTGGCTCACCAGATGACGACTCCAATAACCTGACGTTGCCTTCGGATCCTCCATTACCAGTGAAAACCACGTGGACCCTTTTGCTCTATTTGACATCCGCTTCTGAGGGCTGTATCGGGGGCGAGACCGTATTCTACCCAAGAGATCGAAGATCGTCTCGAGAAGAGATCGTGGTCCCTCTTGAGACGGGGGCATTGCTTCTCCACAAGCATGGAGACGATTGTTTACTGGTAAGACGTTCTCTACACCTTTTTGCCGTCTTTGATTAAACAGACTTCCCGTGCTACATGAATATTGAGCCCAAATATTTACTAACTATTTCAACTTAGCACGAAGGGCGAGAGGTCACTGCAGGTGAAAAATGGGTTTTACGGACGGATCTTTGCGTTAGACGATGAATGTGATTATCAGCCTAAGTAACTTGGTAGTCCCAAAACTTTGGTTTGTTGTACTACTGAGTTCTGCCTATCTTTCCCTTGCCAACTGGTTAGCCCGTTGTCGTCTTTACCGTTCCAATGGTCCATTCTTGCACGCGACAATTTCTCTAGCCTCAGGACTTTCAATCTCGGGCCAATGCTGTGATCATATCGGCAGCTGATCCCAATGCCAATGGTCACTTGGCATCCACCTCACTCATGAGGCTGACCAAGCGATCAATGGTTTCTTCGTCGTCTTTTTCCTCCACGTCATCGCTGTAAATCGAGTCTGTCGCGTCTTGGACGTCATCATCACTTGGAACTTCAACTTCCATGCCATTCTCTGAAAGACCTGGCTGTTCGTCGCGTACCATTTCAAAATCATCTCCAGAAGAAGATGATTCTCCTGAGCCTGAAATGCCATTAGGGAAGTCGTCATCTTCCTCGGGGGTTGCATCGTCTTCCAGAGGGAAAATGGCCAATGGCTGTCCTCGATGAAGGACCGTGCCGTCCGGAAGGTGAGAATGGATCTCAGGCGCCAGCTCAGACACTTCGGGGACCTCTTTGTCTGCAGACGTGACATCATTCTTTCCTGTTGGCTCAAGGTGCTCGGCAAACCCTGGCACTTCTCCTTGACGAGGTCCCGCGGCAAGTGAAGATCTCAGTTCAAGGTTACTATAGTTCGCCATACGACACATCTCCTTATGGAAGATCCAGGGGAAACTAATCAGAGGCATTGACTTTGGTTCTAGCTTGCGCGGTTGCAAGAGGGTTCCCCCGTCGTTGATGACTCCTCGGTGGTGCTCGTAAAGTGCAATTTTCATTTCCTCATCGGTTACCTTGTACATGGCTGCGACAAAGGGTTCGAGTTTCTCTGCACTCTTAGAACCTGCAGTATCGATACATAGCTGTCGAAATGTCGCCTTGAGATTATTGTACTCACGACGAAGCTCCTCCTGAACTTTGTAGTCTGAGCCAACAGCAGGTTTTGACATGGCAAAGCCAGTCCAAAGCTCAAATTCAGTCTTGAGCGCATGTTGACTCAGTAGTCGGCGTACAGATGTATCGTATTGTGTCTTGATTTTTCTTGCAGATTTGAGCGTGTCCCGGTCGAGTTCAAACTTTTTGATAATCCGTTGGTCGAATGGACTGTCCCAGATAGGGTCAAACTTGACTTGCTCACCTTTCACTTTGTCAAATATGACTCCAAGAGCTTTCCTGGAGGTGTAGCTGTTCTTCTTCTCCATAAAATGAGGCCACTTCCGAGGTTGTTGATCTCGTCTCAATACCGCTGGGTCGCCCGTCTTCGGATAGTCCACTGCTTTAGAGTGCAGCTCTGCAAGTTCCAGACCTTAAGAACAGGGTTAGCAAAGAAGTTTGTAATATGATCACTATCACGACTCACATTTTGGTGACATTGGGCCAAGGTCGTCTGAAAATGCTAGATGAGATGTCGCAATGAGCGGCAGTTTATCGTTCTTTAGGTACTTGACGAAGAAGTTCCTGAGATCATCGACCGTGACATCACGATCAAGCTCAATGGGTTTGGGTGCTGAGTAGTTCATGGGCGGATAATTCCATCTTCTAGGAATCAATGTCGGCTCCCAAATTACGAAGAAGTCATCGCCGTCAAGGTCACCACCAGAAAGCATATTAGGAACAGGCTGATCGCCAGTGGATGGAAATACAACAACATCCCTCAGGTGATGCAGAGCTGGGCAGTCCACTGCTTCAACAACACGAATGTCTCCCGGGTGCAGCGACGGGTTGCGTCCAACTATGCATACTCCGCTAATGACCTGAGTCTTGTTATAGTGCGTTGCGTCGCCCAGCTGAATGAAGATTTGCGGAAGTCTATCGATAGCTTTATTTTCGGAGCCTTCGGTTTCGGATGAGTGACCTCTGAGCGTGCCAGTCTCATCGACGCAGCCAAGGACGAAGGCACTTTTCTGCACCTGAATCCTTGCTTTCTCCTTGAGTAGCTTTAAGGACCAAGATCTCCAAAGTTTAAGTACGTTAACAACGAACGGTTCCTGCAGATCATCTGTCTTGAAGCCAGCCTTGAGCAGGTCAGAGATATGGTTCTCGTCAACGAATTTGGTCAACATGTCTATTGCAACGTCATTGTCCTCCATGGCCAGCTCGTACGACCGCAATTGGTGGTCAAGCAGGTTAGTGAAGGAAGAAATGGGAACCCCAAGACATTCGAGAATGGTGATTGTTTGTCTATTGAGAGTTGCTGTCGCCATTGCGGCACTGCGGATAATCTCGAGACCTTTAGAATCTGACTCGAACTTCTTCTGGGATTCCCGAATATGGACTTCCATGACTTTAGTGTCTTTGGGCCAAATGGCGAGAACCCCTTTGCAGCCACCCATACGAAACTGAAAGGCGGAGGGTTTCGCAATAACGTCAAGAATCATGTCTTCGCTGATAAGCTGCGCCAAGAACGACGATATCTTGCCGATGCCGTCGGTGAAGCAGTAGCCGTTCCTCTCGATATCAGGTATCTGTTGAGTTGCTGGCGCCGAAATTGCATGAAGCTCTCTTGTGGTAGAGAAGCATTGACCGAGACGAGCAGCATACTTCGCCACAACTTTTATATGGCTAAACTGACCCATCCACTTACGAATATCATCGCATGATATGTGCTCCGTGGGACAAAAGAAGTAAGCGCCGTTGACTCTGAGCTGCGAGTTGCCAAAGGCAAGGAATTCGTAGACGCGATCGCCGATACGGACGCCTTTATACATTGAACGGAGCACCCTTTTGTATATCTCGTCATTTTGGTCCTTGTTTACCGCAATCCTACCCTTTTCCATCTCTTCAGTGAATTGGATTTTGAGGAAACGGTCCTCATAATGCTTGTAGCGGCGCATGACGCGGTTGGACATCTCCACAGTAGGTGTTGTATAGCGAATCGTTGTTGGCGTGATGACTGCCTTACGGACGAGACAACAATGAGAAGGAATTCTTGACATGATTGTAGAGTCATCAATCTGAGACTCCTCTAAAATAGCCATTGGGTCCACGACAACTTGAGCGTTATCAGCCACGGATTCGAGACAGAGCTTGGCTTTGGTTGGCCTCATGTTCGCAAGTCTTTCCAAGAACTCCCTGCTGATCATGTGTTCATTGAGATAGCCACGGGAAAGACAAACTTCAAGCTGGTATCTAATATCGAAAGGCAGATGAACTATCGAATCCGGGGAATACTGAAGCATCTGAAGTGCGTTGTGCCCTTCGGTAGGAGCTTGGTGGTCTATATATTCCCACATCTTTGCTTTTGTTCCATGGATGGTTTTGAAATCATCTTGAACTTTAGTGGTGATGTTGAAGTCGTCCAGGATGCTCACTAACTGTTGATTGGCCCGACTTGCTATTTCAGTTCCCCCATCTAGAACGAACCCAAGAGTGGTCCATCGGCCAATATCAATGAATTCGGGATCTTGGAAATCGTTGTGGAGAGTGACCGGGTACATCATGGGCAGGCCAGCGTGTTGAACGATATTTGTCGCGCGATTCCAACTCTCCATAACACTCCAATTCTTGGCTTCGTCGGAAAAGGTCGAATTGATGTCAGGTGTCTTCCAATAGTACTGGGGTGGTGTCTTGAGAGGAACCACGAGAGTACAGCAATTATCAACGGCTGCTGTTTGGTAAACATTCTTCATACTTGAAAAGTCAATAACAACTTTGTGTTGTCGTTCAGTTCTGTTTCCCCCTGCAACACTCGGTATGGGGAAGAACGCGGTCAGTTTCTGGTGTTTCGGGCTGAGCTCGAGTTTAAGACTTCGTCCATTGCCCATCCCAGGGATAGACTTCATGATCCTCATTGTTTTCTCTCCTGTCAGGCTCCCAAAATGTATGGCCGCAGGATACAGTGTCAGTTTGACAGGGCAAGTCTGGTCAGGACGTACGGGGCTTCGCAGGAAACCTGGAGGTACGTGCTGGGCAAGTTTAATAGAAATCTCAATCTGTTTGGGATGTTGTTTTATGTCATGATGGCGAACAACATAAATGCCCGTGTACCAAAAGTTTCGCTCTGGTGGTGGTTCGAACCTGATTTTGGCGTTACTGACGTTCGGGTTTCTTTGCGTCTCGTAGATATCCATGTATGCGATTTCTCCTTCATGAGAGAACCAGTCCCAGAGATTTGAAGTCGTAACTGAGGCTGGCACTCCCTCGAGATGTATCGTGAGTTCGGGCCATGCTTTCCATTGTCCGTGGAACTGAGAAGCAAGCCCATCAGGATTGATTGCACAGTTTCGTCGAACCTTTGGTTGCCCTGGCCTGCATCTCTTCGGTCTTCGCTGGTGCTTGGGGTTTTGTTGGGGCCCTTTCGAGGGCCCGTGGGGCGGGCGTTTAGAGCTCATGTTCAATGTATATCTATGTAATCTGGA